TAAATAATTCTCTTGTACAACGTACCTATTTTGTTGATTGAACTAATCAAAACGATAATCGAAAATACCACATATTAAATTTTATTTACTGAACTTGGCTTTTTCAACACTTTTTTTTGTAGATAGGCTCATTTGTAAGGGCATCTCCAATAAGCCCTAGAGAAGCAAAACCTCATTTTAAGGATTTGAGGATAATTTGTTCTAACAATTAATATTCAAAAAAATCTTTAAAAATTAATTAATTTGCAATATAGTCATCAATGCTAACAAAAATTACTAAAAATAATAAAAGTTCATAAATAAATTTAAAGCATACACTTTATATCTTCTATAACATATATAATTATTTATTACTCTCTCCGTTTCAAATTAGTTGTCGTTTTGGCAAAATGTATCTGCAAATATTTGGACGTATCTGTATGCAAAACACGTCCAGATACGTCCAAATATTTGCAGATATATTTTGCCAAAACAACAACTAATTTGAAACGGAGGGAGTATGTTATTATACAATACATCATACTATACAATAATAGTTACATGATAATATAAATTACATATATAATAATTAAACAAACATAAACACAAACTTGCTTTATTTAATAAACAAAAACTTTTTTTGTGTAAACTTTGTTTGATATATTTTCTTGTAAGTGGATTTTTTTTAAACATAACATTTCCTCTTTTTTTTATTTTAATGTGATTTATTTTTCAAAATAAAAGTTTAGTATACTTATTTATCAAAAATCATAATTATATGGACCAAATAGAAAGAGAAAAATAGTTTTGAGAATTTGAGAATTGGTTGGAATATCAAAAATCTCAAAAACCTCTAATATGAATTAGAGATGCCCTAAGAGAATCCTCACCCAAGCATTTATCATGTGTAGGAACATATTCATATTAGGTTGGATAAGGGTCCATTTATTTAAACAATTAAAAGAAATTTGAGATGCAAATGGAAAAAAAAAAGTTAAAACTGTTAGAATAGATAATTATCCCCTTCATATTATATTATTTACTTAGATCGTAAGTTTTGTTTCACCGCCTTACCCATCAACCGGCTGTAATATTATAAGACTATTTACTTCCTATATATAGGCTACCTCCTATTGTAACATAACATAAGTTCAATAAAGAAACCACTTTCATCTCTTCTCACATCTCTCTCCCTTACGTACGACCATACCATCTCTTCACTCTCTCCACACATAGTAACTCTCCTCTCTCTCTCTTTTATTATTAATCAATCCACTATATATATAGTGGTACATCAGTTTATTTATATCACGTTATCAGCACGAACTGCTCTTATATTCTGTCTATTCAATTTTATTGTTTATATGATATGCCGGGATGCTAGGTTGTACCTACTCCGAGCAAATGATCATATGGTAGACTATGTCACCTTAGATCATATAAGAGTTGATGGTAAAAACCTCCTCTTGGAGTTGAGACTTTGCCTCCTCCTGAATATTTACTTTTCTGTAATTTACTTTTTCGCTATTTACTTTTTGCCATTTAAATTCCTGCTATTTACTTTCTTGCAATTTAAATTCAGCACCTTAATTTTTACTAAATTCATGCTGTTATAATGCTCAAATTTTTATTGCAAATTTGAATTTGAATTTATATTTAATGAACTGATCTATGATCTATGCAGATATCATGTCAAATTTGGCTAAGCTCGAAATTTCCGCCCTTGATATTTCTGGAAACAATTATATGACATGGGCAATAGGTGCAAAAATGCATCTAAAAGGAAATGGGCTTCTTGATGCCATTGACAAGTCGAAAGAGACATCCGATGAGAAAAAGGCGAAAGCCATGATCTTTCTACTTCATCACATCCACGATGGTTTAAAAGATGAATACATCACTAAAGAAGATCCTGCGGATCTTTGGCAATCTTTGAAAGAAAGATTTGACCATCAAAAATATATAGATTTGCCCAAAGCCAAATACCAGTGGCTACATCTCCGATTTCAGGACTATAAAAGTGTTGTTGAATATAATTCTGCTATGTTCAGAATAATTTCCAAATGGTGCTATGTGGAGAAAATGTGAGCGATTATGATATGATTGAAAAAACGCTCTCCACATTTCACCCTGGAAATATAGTCCTGCAACAACAATATCGGGCAAATGGCTATACTCGTTATTCAAAATTAATGGAAGTTCTCCTTGTTGCAGAACAGAATAACGAGCTTGTGATGATGAACCATCAGACTCGTCCCACTGGAGCTGCTCCATTCCCAGAAGCGAATGTAGCATCGTCCAGCCAAAATAATGGACGAGGACGTGGACGTGGATATGGTCGAAACCGAGGTCGTGGCCGTGGCCGTGGACGTGGTCGGGGACAAGGAAAAGAGTACCGTCCCGACGAGTCCAACAATGAAAGGAATATAAAAGATCTCGAGCAAATGATTACGGCCGAGATTCTAAAAAGCAAAAAGAAAGTGTTTGCTACAGATGCGGCATGAAAAATCACTGGGAGCGTACTTGTCGTACACCCAGACACTTAGCCGATCTGTACCGGGAATCACAAAAAGCAAAGGAGAAAGAAAGTGAGACTAACTTCATCTCCAATGAACCCGGTCCTTCCTTTCACGGCCTAAACGATGATACTCATCTTGATGTTTCAGATTTTCTGGTTGACTCCGAAGAGATCAACGGAAAAACAGACGACTAAAAGGACATGATATACATAGTTATCTTCCTGAATAAGATAACCTAAAAGTTTGATCTTTTTGTTGTAAAATAGTTTTTAATGTGGTATTTTGTATCTTGTGATATAAGCTTTGTATTGTTTAATACTTATTAATGCATCTTTGTTAAATCCAGAAATGACGAAATTTGAGACTCGTGATGGAGATATGTGTCTTGCAGACAGTGCTACAACGCACACAATACTCAAAGATAAAAGATATTTCTCCGGTCTCAAAATTAAAGATTCCGTTGAAAGCGTGAATACCATTTCTGGTGGTGCAAAAATAATATTGGGCTCTGGAAGAGCCAATTTTTCAATGCCAAGGGGAACAAAGTTTGAAATAAATGATGCATTATATTCCCCGAAGTCTTACAGAAACTTATTAAGTTTCAAAGATATCCGTAAAAATGGATATCACATAGAGACTATAAATAAGAATGGCATTGAAATCCTTTGCATCAAATCGGAGGGACAAATATTGGAAGAATTGAAAATGATGTCCTCCGGATTATATTGCACAAATATTACTCTGACTGAATCATATGTTACAGTAAACCCGAAGTTTACTAGTACATTCAAAATCTGGCATGAAAGGCTAGGGCATCCAGGTTCAGTCATGATGAGAAAAATTGTGCAAAACTCAAATGGCCATCCGTTGAAATACGGGAAAATTTTAGAAACGGGCGAGTTCATATGTAATGCATGTTCTCAAGGAAAACTCATAACTCGGCCATCACCAGCGAAAGTTGGGAATGAATCCCTGTGTTCTTAGAGAGAATACACGGTGATATATGTGGGCCTATTCACCCACCATGCGGACCGTTTCAATACTTTATGGTATTAATTGACGCATCAAGTAGATGGTCACATGTGTGTCTTTTGACAACACGAAATACGGCTTTCGCAAGATTCATTGCCCAAATAATCAGGTTGAGAGCACAGTTCCCTGATTATACTATTAAGAAAGTGAGATTAGATAACGCTGGTGAATTCACTTCACAGCCTTTAATGACTATTGCATGTCATTGGGAATCGATGTTGAGCATCCGGTTCCACATGTCCATACACAAAATGGCATGGCTGAGTCTTTGATTAAACGGTTGCAACTGATTGCAAGACCGTTAATAATGAGAACAAAACTCCCAATTTCTATATGGGGTCATGCTATTTTGCATGCTGCAGCGTTGCTCCAAATACGACCAAGTGCTTATAATATATATTCCCCATTGCAATTGGCATCTGGTCAGGAGCCAAACGTATCCCATCTCCGTGTTTTTGGTTGTGCGGTTTATGTTCCGATAGCACCGCCACAAAGAACAAAAATGGGGCCACAAAGGAGATTGGGAATATACGTTGGGTATACGTCACCGAGTATTATTCGGTATCTTGAACCTCAAACTGGTGATATGTTTACGGCACGTTTTGCCGATTGCCATTTTAATGAAGATGAATTTCCAGCGTTAGGGGGAGGAATTAAAGAGGTTCCAAAAGACCTCACATGGTGTACACCGAATTTGTTACACTTTGATCCCCCGACAAAACAACGCGAATTGGAAGTTCAGAAAATTATACATTTACAAAATATGGCAAATCAATTACCAGATTCGTTCACAGATACAAAAAGAGTGACGAAATCATATATACCCGCTGCAAACGTTCCATCAAAGATAGATTTCTAAGGAACAAAATGATGGAAGCATAGCAAATGCACCCAAAGTCCAATTAAAGAGGGGGAGGCCGATGGGCTCTAAAGATAAAAATCCCCGAAAGAAAAAGAATTTGGGAGAAAGGTTCAAGAAGAACCTAGTAAAGAAATATGTCCTGAAGACATAAACAAACTGGTTTTTGAAGAACCAGAGAAAGAGATTCGTCCAGAAGACGAACATGATACAGAAAAATTTGAGATTTCCATCAACTTCGCCCAAAATGGAAAAGTATGGACAAGAAATGAAATAGAAGATGATGATGGAATATTCTCTTTTTCTGTATACAAAGAATTGATCATGAAAGTGATGATCCAGATCCAGAAACAATATCAGAGTGTCTCAAAAGACCTGATTGGGAGAAATGGAAAATGGCCATCCAAGCTGAATTACTCTCCCTCAATAAAAGAAGTGTTTTTGGACCTATTGTCACAACTCCTGAGAATACAAAACCCGTCGGGCACAAATGGGTTTTTGTAAGAAAAAGAAATGAGAAAAATGAGGTCACAAGATATAAAGCCCGACTTGTGGCTCAAGGTTTTTCTCAAAGACCGGGAATTGATTATGAAGAAACATATTCCCCGGTAATGGATGCCATAACATTCAGATTTTTGATGAGCTTAGCAGCGTCTCAAAATCTTGAAATGTATCTCATGGATGTTGTGACAGCATATCTATATGGATCTCTTGAAAATGAGATATATATGAAAATCCCAGAAGGATTAAAAATGCCTGAGGATTTGAAATCAAAGGCTAAGGAGATCTGTTCGGTCAGATTACAGCGATCACTTTATGGACTAAAACAGTCCGGACGCATGTGGTATAATCGCTTAAGTGAATATTTGTTGAGTAAAGATTACGTCAACAATGCGATATGCCCTTGCGTATTCATTAAGAAATCCTCTTCAGGATTTGTGATTATTGCTGTATATGTAGATGACCTGAACATGATTGGAACTCAAAAGGAAATTGATGATGCAAGAACTCATATGAAAGAAGAGTTTGAAATGAAAGATCTTGGAAAGACAAAGTTTTGTCTTGGGCTCCAGATAGAGCATTTCCAAGATGGTATATTTGTGCATCAGTCAAATTACACTAAAAGAGTGTTAAAACGCTTTTATATGGACAAAGCAACTCCTTTGAGTACTCCAATGGTTAATAGATCTCTTGATGTTGAAAAGGATCCATTCCGTCCTTGTGAGGATAACGAGGAAGTGTTAGGTCCTGAAGTACCTTACATGAGCGCTATTGGTGGACTAATGTATCTTGCAAATTGCACTAGACCAGATATAGCATTCGCTACTAATCTGCTTGCAAGATATAGTTCGTCCCCTACGCGCAGACATTGGAATGGAATAAAACATATTTTTCGTTATCTTCAAGGATCAATTGATTTAGGATTATTTTATCCTAAAAACTCAAAATGTGTTTTAGTTGGTTTTGCTGATGCAGGATATCTATCAGATCCACACAAAGCTAGATCACAAACAGGTTATGTTTTCACAATTGGTGGAACCGCGGTCTCCTGGCGTTCGCAAAAGCAAACTTTGGTTGCAACGTCTTCAAATTATGCAGAAACTATTGCTCTCCATGAAGCATGTAGAGAGTGTGTGTGGCTCCGGTCTATGACTCATCACATACAAGAATCAAGTGGAATAGTACAGAGAAAGAGCCAACAAAAATATTTGAAGACAATTCTGCATGTGTCACACAACTCAAAGAAGGTTATATCAAGAGTGACAGAACGAAGCATATTCCTCCAAGATTTTTCTCATACACTCAAGAACTCCAGAAAAATCAAGAAGTGGACATCGAGTATATTCGTTCAAGTGACAATGCAGCCGATCTTTTTACAAAGGCGCTTCCTACTACAGTGTTCAAGAAGCATGTTCACAGTATTGGAATGCGTCGTCTAAAACTTGTGAAAAGAAAAGATTATATCTTTTCCAGGGGAGATTATGCTGCGGTACTCTTTTTCCTAAGTCATAGTTTTTATCCCATTGGGTTTTTCTATGACATAGGTTTTTTAACGAGACCGTACATAATACAGCGGATAATTAAGGGGAGTGTTAGAAAGATAATTATCCCTTCAATATTATATTATTTACTTAGATGTAAGTTTTTTTCACCGCCTTACCCATACCGCTGTAATATTATAAGACTATTTACTTCCTATATATAGGTACTCTGTATTATAACATAACATAAATTCAATAATAGAAACCACTTTCATCTCTTCTCACATCTCTCTCCCTTACATACGACCATCACCATCTCTTCAACTCTCTCTATACATAGTAACTCTCCATCTCTCTCTTTTATTAGTGAAATCAATCCACTATATATATAGTGGTACATCAGTTTATTTATATAAAAACAAACAAACTTTCTCATTTCTGTATAATATAATTCAAATCCCTAATAAAAGGCCCATAGAAGAAGATACGTGAGATCCTTTATTTCTAGGAAACCATTTAAGTAGCCAGCCCAATAAACAGACAAGTAAATCAACCATTAGGATCGGGCGTAATTAGATGATTTCACAATGTATAAGCTGGTCGGTATTGAAGATGATTGAAACCTTCCTAGCCATCATCATCCCAAGCAAGCCAGTTTTTTCCCAGAAAACAAAACCCAGGATATTCCCAAAAATAAATTCATATTTAAACTTCTAAACTTTCGTATTTCAAATTAACCAGTTTTTGTCTACACTCTAACATTCAGAATCCATAAAAATATATAAAACAGTTGAATGATACGTCTGTTACTTTGATCCTCACCCGAGTATATATAAAATGTGATTGGGATAAGTCTCCATTTAATCAATTAGAAAATCTGATGCTCGTGAACATAAGACTTTTATCATTTCTACTAGTGGCCCGATCTGTATGATTAGTTCATACCAGTGTTCATATATTTCATATAACTGAAGAACGTCTTCTTGGTGCTGGAGACATGCATTTTATATAGGATTTGTTTTACCAAAACATAATTATAAGATTCCATTTAACAGATGTTTAACAAGTCTTAAAAAAAATTTAGTTACTGAACGTGTACTTTCATGACCATTTGCTAACAACTCATCATCGATCACATGTTGTCGATCCTAATTCAACGGTCATACAATTCATTTGTTTTTTTTTTGTCGACATACAATTCATTAAATATACATACGAAAATATTACCAGAAATGTAATTTCGTATTAGAAAATTGAAATCGAATTGTTTGGGATTTGGAATTATTATGGAATTCTGTTTCTTTTCATGAACAAGGTTGGCTAGTCTGTTGAAGATATTTGTATATTCAGATTTTTAACCTTCAGGCTTCAGTGGTAGTGGTGTTGTTTTTTAACAAAGTTCATATAGAAACCGACATATATATATATATATGTGCTATCTTTATTCTTTATCTTTATACTAGGAGAGCACCCATAAATTCGACATATTGAAGGTTTTTTATACATTTCCTATCTTCACTGTAATAAATTTCTATGGAATAGTACAGAAGATAACTTTTACTAAAAAAATTGAAGTATATATATATATTTCTTAATAAATTAAATAAAAAATAAAATTTAACAAACGGTAACAAAAGTAGAATAAGTGAAGCTACTCATCAACATGCTTCCAATATGGTTCTTTTCATTAGCCTTTGGAGTATGCGCCAATCAAAGCCAAACATTGTTCCTTCAGCTTCCATGTTCGCCCTCGTAGCGTTCTCCATGATGATGTTCCTAACAGTATACGAGAAGATCCTCGTGCCTCTTTTGAGACGCGCCACGGGAAACGAAAGAGGTATGAGCATTCTACAAAGAATCCGGACCGGTATGGTTTTTCTCTCTAGTCACCATGATCATTGCTGCTCTAGTTGAGAGAAAAAGATTGGATAATACAAAGCAACATCCCATGAACATGACCATGAGTGTTTTTTGGTTAACTCCTCAATTCATAGTCATAGGAATTGCGGACGCTTTTACCCTGGTGGGTTGACTCAATGAAAACCATAGGCATAGCGTTTTACCTTAGTGTGCTTGGTGCGGCTAGCTTTGCCAACAATCTGTTGATAACGGTTGGTGATCGTTTAGCCGAGGCAATCTCCGGGAAGACCTTAACAGCAGCCGCTTGGGCCGTTTTTATTGGATGACCGCTGCAAATATTTGCTTATTTGTAATTGTAGCCAAGAGTTACACTTACAAGAGTGTGCAGCCAAGCGTTGTTGTTGCTGACGTTGGTGATGACGTCGAGGAAGCCTCCGTGATAAGTACATCCAAGTATACGTAACTTCGCTATTGGTTATTTTGGTCATCTCACCATTTTATGTTCCTTTTTGTTGTTGTTGCTGTACTAATATTTTACTTGGAAAATATTTAAATTACATCATGTATCTTTACATCAAGTTAACACTCACGAGTGATCATGATTAAATTGAAATTTTTTCTTGGTTTAATCAAGAAACTATACGTATCCAGCGAGCGATGCTGGGAACACCCTGGTTAACGGCGAACACCATGTAATAACCTGGCGGTGAAATAACAATAAACTTTAATTTAACTTTAAACATTCAAAAGAAAACCTTAAACCTATGAAATGAAACCCTAAATCCTAAATACTAAACTCAAATCCAAATACATAAATTATAAACTCTTCTAAAGTTTATCGTAAAGATGGATAATGGTATTAGAGGGAAAAAATAATAATAAAGGTATGAAGGAAAGCAAAAAAAAACTTAATGGTATTTGAAGAATTTCTCTAGTTTTTTTTTCTAAAGTATTTGGCATCGTGCATGGACATCAGCCCAATTACGCTAGCACCCAATGTTATGCCACATTCTGATTCTTTCTAACTACGCGAAGCACACAACTTATCCATCTCCCCGACCGAGAAATCTTGTGCCCAACGATCTGCTCTTGCAAATTTCAAAAAACAGAGAACAAGCTGCTCCTCTTATAAAGAATATTTTAATAACAAAAAAGTATATCAGAATTAAGAAGATAACATAGCTGAGTATTTCATTTATGGATATTCTAATCAGCTAATCTAACCCTTTAATTAAACAAGTTAATAAAAAAACTCATAAAATAATGAAACTGCTTACCACCTAAAAATCATATGATCAATGCCCTTCCCTAACTCCAACAATTATGGTTACAAAAAGCTTCAGTTTCTAATAATGTTTTTCTTTTCGTCACATTTGAGTAAAAACAAAAAACAACTCATTTCAATTTAATCAATTGGTTTTCTTATGATAGAAGCAACCACACCCATCAAATGATCAAACCAATTTGGAACCAAGACACACACAAAAAAAAAAAAAAAACGAACCAAAATGGGCAAAACAGGTTTTCAAAAGATGTTTTTTCTTTTGCTTACTCTGTTCTGGAACCGTGCTGTGTATGAACCAAGACTTGATCCTCGGAGTGACCAACTGTTTCTCAACTTGTTTCCAGTTTAGAAGACTGTTGACTGAAACATTACGTTTCAGCACTGGCTTAGGGAAGTTACTAAGCGGTTCATGCTCGTTCACATGGCTCAAGAAGGAGAATCGAGGAAAGTTATCTCCTTTCATCGACCGCTTTGCTCTAATAGCTTTCTGGTCTTTCCATGACTCTATGTTCCACTTGCGAAACGCATCTTCTGCTTCAAGTTGCTTCGCTCTAGAAATTTCGACCCGCCGTTTCCAAGGCTTGTTCACTTGTTCGTTAGCTTCCTGTAGCTTCCTCATGAGCTCTATCCTTAAGATATCGGTGGACATGCCTTGAAGTGTTAAGGGTGATCTTGGAGGCTCCGGGAAGCAAACTCTGTCTTGGTGACTCCCGCTGGATAATATGGTCATTTCAGCAATGGCAAGTGCTTCCAAACTTTTGTGAGTTCTTGGGTTCATGCATGCCTCTGTACGACGCAACTTCGAAAAAAACACCTGGTTCTGTTATATACTCCTGGAGTAAATGATAAATCTACGATGCTTTGGGGGCAGTGAAGATCCTGAGATTCACCTTAACAAGAGAATCTAATTTCTAAAAGCTGTTGTTGAATGTTAAATTATTCCTATTCATCATGAAATTGCTCAAGTATAATTTTAGTTCACTGATACGTTTACTTGTCTTAAACGTCTGCTAGACCCGGGGAAAAAGAGTGTTTATTGGTTTGCTAATATGGATTTAGACGGTGGATAGACAGTGTAGAGATGATGCTTTAGTCTACCTAATGAAGCCAATTAGTAAATACTAGGATAATGGTTATTGAGCTTAAGCATCCACAAACAAACGGCTCATACATATTGAGCTTTTAAAACCGTCGACACACAAACGTCTCATACATATTGAGCTTTCCTTAGGGTAAAAAACACAAACACGAAGCATTGTATCACACAAATCATAAGGAAGACCGAAGAAGTAGAAAGACAAAGGTTGCATTATTGAAAAACACCAAGAGCTTTTTAGTCGAGAGTTGTAGACTACACCAACCCCCTCTCCTTCTTAAAAGCCATGATCTTCTTATTGTTCTCTTTGGCCAACATGATACAATGAGCTACATACATCAAAAGACGAATTCATGAGAAGTTTTACATTGAAATCAAGAAATCAAAGTAGTCAAATTTACGCCACCTGGAACACAATAGTCAAACATACGAACGGAGGCAGTGGAGCTGGAACGACTTCTTCGCACTGTCGCTGCGAGGTGAACAGTTACTTGGAATCCTTCCATTGCACTTCCATTAAGTTTCAGCGCCTTACCTTCTGCTTCTTCTTGGGTAAAATAAATCAAGGCTTTCCTGCCAAAAAAAAAAAAAAAAAAAAGGAATTTCTAGCTAGTTAAACTGGGGAACAAAATTTACAAAAACTAAATTGGACAAAGCCACAAACCTGTCCTCTCTACCGAGAAGAACACATGTGATATCTCCGCAAGAAGAGAAATGTCTCTCAAAAGTGCTCTTGACATCATCGTCAGGAAGCGAAGTCATGTCATATCCATAAACGGCAACGCCAAACTTACTGCAGTTATTAAATTTGCATGTTATCATAACAACACATCTTACACATGCAAAATCACACAGGACAAACGAAAAGCATCAACTTACTATTGCTCGTCATTCTTTAAGTTTTCCAACAGAGTATGTCGATAATTATCAGTCTCCTCGTTTTCTTCCGGTGTAACCTTCACAACGACATTCCATCCTCCCACGTCACGTCCATCTAGTTGCAACGCATTCTCTTCTGCGCCATCTCCGCGCAGGATCATAAAAGCACGTCTGTTTAAAATAATAAATAAATAAAAAGACCAATCGGTTTCAGATGGCATTACATAAATTAAAAAAATAAAATTCAAGAAGCTACAAACCTTTCGACAAGATGGGTTTCAGGGTCTATGGGAATCGCCACGTTGATGATTTCGCCACATGAACTGAAGAGATCAACCAACGCCTTGTTAATATCTTCCTGAGGGAGCGACGTGTCGTATCCCTCAACGGAAATCCTAACCCTAATTTGCACGAGATCAAAAATCTATTATCAACACCAATTTAACAACACATACAAATCTCCAAACACAAACCCACACAAATGATGAAAAGAAAAAAAATAGAATCCATTTACCGGGGCTTCTTGAAGGCTTCCATAGCAGGATCAACTTCAGCCTCCACCAATTTGAATTTGTATCTCTCCTGCCAAAGTACAACGGATCTAATCAGATATTCTAGAGAAAAATAAATCCATAAACCGAGTAAGATGAAATATATCAGGAGAAGAACATTACTTGGGCCTCGGCAATCGTGCGAAAGTACATGGTTATGGAGAATTTGAGAAAAGTCGATAGACCTAGGCGATGGATTTTCAGATCTACAGGTCTTGTGTGTAAGGGGAGAGAGGAGAAGCGATATTTATCATCTTCTTCTGGTTTGGGCCTCAGGTCGGTCCTTTCCTCTCAAACGGGCTACTAACCCCCGGTTTCGGCCCATTTTACCAAACCAAAATTAAATAAGAAGAAAAAGCCAATGAAAAATCGATAAATTGAATTTCAATTTGATTTCCCTTTTATCTGTTTTGACGGATTCTGGGAATGTTTTTTTCTCAGGTTCAGGATCTAAGAACACCCTAGATTGATCGAATCGAAATGAGAGTACTCAAGCGTCAGGGCCTTGTTCGACGAGGAGGACCACCGCCGTCCAAAAAAACCAGCCCAATGGAGGTTCCACCTCAAAACCCAAATCACCTCCTCCGTCTATTGAAAGCTCTCACAATCCCCGAATGGCTTCTAGCCGCGTCGACGCCCTTCTCTTAACCGATTCAACCGGATCAAACTCTAGTCACCCTATCTTCGTCACATGTGATTATTTGGCTGGCTCAAGGGAAATTCAGACACTTGCCTGTTGTGGAGAAGGGACAAGTCATTGCTTTGTTGGATATCACAAAGTGTCTATACGGTGCGATTTCAAGAATGGAGAAAGCTGCAGAGCAAGCAAGTGCTTTAGCAGCTGCTGTTCAAGGCATTGAGAAGCAGTGGGGAGCTGGATACTCTCTGCTCCTTACGCAATGTTTAACGATCATCACTGAGAATTCGAAAGTTGCTCTTGTGGCGCCAACATCAGATTCTGTCAAGGGACGTGTGCATCGGTTTAGTTGTGGTGGTGAGAGTCTTGAGGAGCTGATGGGTGTTGTGATGCAGAGGATTGGTGGTGGTGACGGTAACGAGATGGAAGAAAGGCCGCAGATTGTGTATGAGGATGATGAAGGTGATAAGGTTTTGATTATGTCGGATAGCGATTTGGTTGGTGCTGTTAGTCTTGCTAGGTCTACAGGACAGAAGGTGTTGAGGTTGCATCTGGACTTCAGCGAGACGACGACTACGAGGAGCTTGAGCTTGGAAACGGGTCAGGTCAAGAAAGTGGAGTGTCTAAAGGGAGAAGGAGGAGGATGGGTTTCGTGGCGTGGTGGTGTTGTGGTTACGGGAGCTGTTGTTCTAACGAGCATAGCCGTAGTTGTTTACTTGAAACGCTCACAGAATTGATATTTTTTTGGTGGGGTGAAACTGTTTGGGAGGCAAAAACATGTCTCATTTTTGTGTAAGTTTCATACTATTTGTCTTTTTGGGTTTCCCTTACATGTTTTGCGGATGCAAAAAAGAAACTTTGTTTCCCTAAGATATTAAATTAAAGGGGAAAAACTTTTGTTAAGAAGTGAAGTAAGATTTGACAGAGTTTATATGTAAAACCTGGGGATGAAAGCGAGAAAAATAAAACCAGAATGTTGTTGCACTGCAATGTTTCTGATATTTGAACTATTTGGGTTATATTAGTTTCATTCTTGCAATTGTATTTGTGTTCAACTGTTGTTACTTGCCCTGAGAAATTGTTCTGTGGATGTGAGGAACAAAAAGAGAGCAGAGGGAACATATCGAGGATATAGAAGTCTGTGGTCAAGTCCTGCTATATGTTTTGAGGCATTAGCTTCCATATTGAACGGGATATGTGGTGCGGTTTGATTGCATACTTAAGCAAACCAACAAAGAAATTACATCATCGACAATGATGTAGTCCAATGTGAGGTTGAGAAGATCACAAATAATGGAAAATGAATGAATACAATGACGAATATATAGTTAACGGATGAGTGAGTAAACAGGATAGCAGGTTTGCCCGAGAGGTTAAGGGGGAAGACTTAAGTTCTTCTGCACATAAGTGCGCGTGGGTTCGAACCCCACAGCCTGCATTTTTTCAATTTAATTATCTTTTTGGACTTATATCTTAGAGACAGACAGACTCCAACGTAGATTTCGAGTGTTGTGGTTAAAATTTAAAAGGAGATAGCTAGGAGCAAATCACATGAAGAGAAGTGAGAACATAGAGAGAGGTTCAACGCTTAATAAAGAGTCAAAACCGATGTTACTCACTCTCTAACGACAGACTCAACTTGTACGCCATTTTAGGATTGGTCTAGCTAAAAGTAGCAGGTGATTGCTTAAGTAGTTGTTGAAAAATGAGAAAGATCTCACGAGAAAGATCTCACGATTCCAAACATGAAACATCACATTTTACATCTCACCCAAACCAACAACTTCCCAAAGTTGCTTTCTAAGTCGATGTGGACACAGATTTTCTTCAGACTGGATCGGCTAATTTGGAAACATACGATGATGATACGAATCTATTTAAGAACCGTGTGACTGTGAATCTCGTAGATGTTAAATTATAATTGGAACGCATAGAAAGAAGCAGAAAAGGGATCACGAGATAACCAAACAAAAAGCTAATATAAAAGATCACATGAATCCAACACACTGTTCTCTACCAAAAAGTAGAACCAATTCAGCTGAAAACAAATCGTTTATTTCAGTTTGGAGCATCAAATATTAATCGAACTCTGTTGGCTCTGTTGGATTCTCCCTCTCTCTAGTACGGCTCGACTGGCGTCCGGAAGTTGGCTCCTGCATACACTGCCTCTGCTCCGAGTTCCTCCTCATTGATACAACTTGGTCTCATTGACACTTCCTTTGGATCTTCAAACATTTTCTTCTTCTTCATTTTCAAATCTCTCTCTCTTCATTTTCAAATGTTTATTTCGCTCAAGATCCAAAGGAAGAAGAAAAAATTTGAAAATGAAGAGAGAGAGAGAGAGAGAGAGAGAGAGAGAGAGAGAGAGAGAGAGAGAGAGAGAGAGAGAGAGAGAGAGATTTGTTCCCACGCTCCTAGTCCCTAGAGTTTTGCGTTTGAAAGCGCGCTTGAAAGTTGAATCGATTCTCTCGATCGTTTGATTATTTTTATTAAATTAAGAAATTAGAGTTTAATCGATTTATCGTTTTCCGGTTTTCCAGAACGGATTTTTCGGTTCGATCAAAATCGTATCGGTTGAACCATAAAACCTTAACCAATTCGAACGAATCATCTTTTGACACCTCGTAAATTTTAACACCACTAAAAGTCTAAAACCATAACGATCCGAATACAAGTTTCCAGGAACTGCATTGATGATGCCAAATGAAACACGAATGTGTAGAACAAGGAAAGATCAAATACTAGAATCTTGGATGATTATGAATTTATGAAAGTAAGCGGCTAAACAACACAAACACTTGCATGAAAGAAGAATTCAACAGACCAAGCAAGTGCATATATCAAATGACATTTTTCTCAAGACCAAAACCTAAGAAACTAAACAATTGTTTGATGATGAATGATGGTCCTAGTACAACTACTACTACTGCTCTGTGCCCGGCATCTGAACCATCATATGCGAACCCTACATTCACACAAACAAAAAGTTTAATCAGTTTCTCAGCATATTGTACATATACAGTATAATATGGTTCAAGAACCAGGAACAGATGAGGGACCTAGTCAGAGTTCATGTCCTCGTTCTTGTCTAGGTTCTAAAAAGTGGATATGCATATATATGATTCTCACTGAGTCTATGTATATATATATATATATATGATTTTCATTGAGTCTATTAAAGTTGTTAAGTCCGTTTAATTGGTTTTAACACTCTCACATCTCCTCTATGAAGAGAATGTATACATATAAGCCTGAATCTTACTTGAGAGTTTCCATAAGAGCCTTGGTGGTCAAGCTGCGGAAACTGTTCAGAAGATTAAGAAAAATCAGGGAAACGATAAAGTAGCTCGCACATTTCATACTTAGGTCAGATGTCTGTGTCAATTGGAGAAGATGGAGTCTTTACCTGAGCCGCTTGGCTTGGTCGACCGTCTCTCTTTGCACCCGAATCCCCACCTTTTCCTGATCTCTTAGCATCACCCTATCACACAGATATATAACAATGCGCAGAGGATACCAAACAATCCTAATCAGATCAAACTGGACTAACAAAAGACTGCGATACGCTAAAACAAAACAGATAGATAAGTGAAAGAGGATAAACCACTGACCTCCATCTTCAAAATCCCAATCCACATAGCATATTTGACTGCATCAGACTGTTTTTGTTTTCCAGCTTTACTAACTAATAAAAGAAAGTTTAGAGTTCACTGATATTTGATTTCTGACTGAAATTGCTATGAACTTATGAGAATTAAAGGCAGTTTATGTGGAGTGGAGTTAACAAAAGTATTTTTTTCGTGATAAAAATATCTTGTGAACCAGACCAATTCGTTTACCTCTTAAACTCCACAATACTAGAACCCATTAGCCATTAAGTTTCTGTACGCACAAACTATAAAGTGCTTTTTGGGAGGATGGGTTAATGTCACATAAGAAGAATCTACCAGATAGCGAAATACCTATTCAAACCCAAAAAAAAACAGAGCTCAATTTTATGAAGAACTACAGATTCCTGGAGGCAACATCTCCTCATTCTCATCACACCTCAAGTTGATCTTCTGCACTGATTTTGGAATACAATTTGTTTTGCAGTTTTGGAGATGAACTTGCCTTCGTTTTTGAATTGGACGACACTTGTATTGGAGACTTGTTGGCTTGAGACTTTCCAGACTTCTTACTCGCAGATGAAGATGATCCATGTCTTGCCTGTTTAACAAAGTGAGATAGAGAGAAAGAGATCAATACATACTTAGATTCCAGATAGTGATAGATCAGAGAATACTAGTAGATCTTGTATCAATCATAAGAAACGAAAAATTGCAAATTTGGTATTCTAATGTTTTCAAGGAATTTTAGGAACTTACTCCATCAAAGAAGCCGATTTTCGGGGATGGCACACGGAGACCTGATGCTTTCATGGAACCTGAAGGAACCAAGCCACCACTGTTGAAAGCTGAAATTCTTATTGTGCCTTCCTTAGCATCAGCCTGAACAACAGATTCATCTTTAGAGCTCTCGACAGGCTTTTCACCAGAGACGGTTTTCTGGTTGCTTTTAGCCATATTGCCACCACTTGCAGAAGCTCGCGATGGCACACTAGAGGCAAGCTTGGACTTGGTTGTCATATTGGTTGGGTGGGGTGGGATTCTCGGCTGGCCCATGATACCTCTAGATGTAGATCGATTTGCCAATGACTGAGAAGCTAATCTGGAACTTGGATCATTCTTCTTCTTTGTCGAAACTAGAGAAGCTTTGTGAGAAGCGCTCGATGAAGCACTTGCACAGCTCTCTAGTGAAGAGCAAGAAGATGTCAATTCATTCTTTGACGCAGTTGAAGAACGTATAGTTGACTTAGGCACAGCATGTTTTGGCAATGTGGGTCTGGCACTTCGTGAAATGGATATTCTAGTACCCAAAGGCTCTTTGCCTGTATAATTTAAAGGTCATCAAACATGGACGTTAAAGACAAGTTACAAAAATCTTCAAGACAGAGTTTTGACTGACCTGCTGGAAATTTGGGATTCCTTTCTAGTTTGGTTTTGGTCATATCTACTGATGCCCTCTTCGTTGATGTTGTTGCCAAGGCCGGCCTGACTTTGCTAACTCCGTTAGGTGGCTTGGAAATAGATGTACTGAGACCTCTTGTAGCAACAGGCTGTACAAAATGTATCATTAATAAATTATCAAATATCAGGGTCAAGTGATGACAAGCTTCTAATTCATAAACTCAACAGAGAAAATTCGAACTTAATAACCACTGGACATCTAGAAGAACCCTTTGTGAGATCAAACTTAAACTATGCCATGAATCCTTTAGTCAATGTGCACCTGAGAAAGTGAATGAAGACGATATACCTGTTTTGTTGCCTTCCCTAGTCCTTGTGCTCTAATACTCAGCTTTTTAGGACTGGCTTTGGGTTTCAACTGCGAAATAAATCAATGAAAGAAAGGATTTAGACGGAGAGAGAGGTAAAGAGAAAACACAGGGTGCAGTTGTCAACAGATTTACCTGTTCCTGAGAGGCAACAACGTCCAGTGTACTTGAAGCTGGAATTTCAAACAAGGTATGCAAAAGATGGTTAACTTAATAGCAAAACTCAACTTAAAATGGCTCTTGCTACTGTATACGCGTCCCATCTAGTGTAAACACCTTGAAACAGTACTTCCAATATAAAACTAAAACACAGTAGCTAAACACTCATCACAAAGTACGATGGAAAACACTAAAAAAAGTAGGCCTTCTGCTTTATAGAAAGCCATTAATAGACTAAAGCTCGAGCTAGACCATACAAACTGATTAACCCATAAAGATGCATGCTGATATGTGGGGGAAAACAGCAAAGCTAGTTCCTTTCCCTTTACACGAGATAAGCAATAAAGAAGACTTACTTGGGCTGGTTGCTACTTCTGTTTCTCCCAGTTCATTATACTTTCCAGGTGTTGCAGCACCAGATCCTTTAGCAGAAGACCTTTGAATAGACGCTCTCACATCTTCAAACAAAACTAATTCCTGACTGTTTTCCACAGTGCAGTCACTCTGAAATGTAGAAATGGACTCTGTTGATCTATTAACATCCTCTTCAATGGTAGGTAAACCTTTCCTTTCACTCTTGTTATTGCTTTCCATCATGCTTGTCAACTCTTCAGGTTCCAAAACACCTGATTTTGGCAATATATATCTCAGCAAAAGTAAGTGATACATTACAAACCACTAAAATATCTGAAAAGTAACAAAAAAGGTACGAAATGCACTTACCGTCGCTCGTGAAGAAGGCATTGTCCCAGGCAAGACTTTTGCGCAAATTATACTTCCCACTCTTCATCACCTTCTGAGGTTCAGGCGACTCACGAGGCTGAAGCACTTCTTCCTTCTCTTCTATTGAAGAGACTAGTATCTCTTCATCATCACATGACTGTGTATCCGTCAAGAAACTTTGATCTTTGTCATCGTTCAAACACTTTTTATCCTCATCTGCATCTGCCTCTGAAATGTCATCATCAAAGAGGGTGCCCAAATGTAAGCCCAACGCAAAAATCTACAACATACAATTCAAATGCAATGCCATTTCGCTACGGTGAGAACATTCGCATTTGGATCTAAAGGACTGAGTCTAGTCTCACATCAAACACTGAACTGATATCCAATAACAGTAATCACCATGAACAGTAAAGCAATCTATAAGCCTCAAATTGGACTCATCCAAGTACCAATCAAGTGAAAAATCTTCTCTTTCTTTCTATAAATTCTAACTTACGAATAAAGAGACGATAACCCTATACAATTAAGCAGATTCGGAAAATTAACAAGACCCAGAACCCGAAATCGAAATTCAAAATCAAAAGAGAATGCAGAGAAATTGTAGTCACCGGAAAACTCGTAGCTGGTGGGATCCGGAAAGGAGGAGAAGAGGAGGCTATCGTCCTCACCAGCGACATCAATCAGACCAAGGCCATCGACCTGGACCTCGACCTCGCTTTTCTTGGGCTCGTTGTTGTCTTCCATGAAGAGAGATTAAGACGAAAATCGAGTTTCCCCAAATGTTTATTTCGCTCAAGATCCCAATGACTGAGGAGGAGGAAAAAAGAAGGAATTTGAAAATGAAGAGAGAGATTTGTTCCCACACTACACTCCTAGTCCCTAGAGAGATCCAGGGTTTTTGAGTTTGAAAGCGCGCTTCTTCTCAATCGTAAAGGCTTGAAAGTTGAATCGTTTCTCCATCGTTGGATTTTTTTGTTTCGCCTAATCGCCTCCCATTTTTAATTCAACAAATAAATTAATCGGTTTTTTTTTTTTTTGGGTTTGAATTCGGTTATGGTACAATAATACTTTATCCAAAAGGGATTTTTCGGTTCGATCAAAATTGTATCGGTTGAAAAAGACTTAAAACCTTAACCAGTTCTAACGGAATTGTATCCTTAATTCCTTATATCCATCCTTTGACACCATAATGATCCAATATGAAGCTACTATGTATTTGATTGAGATGATACCAAATGAAACTCGAATGAAGAAGAAAAGATCAGATAGAATCTTGGACGATTGTGAATTTATGAAAGTAAGCGGCTAAACAACACAACACTTGCATGAAAGAAGAATTCAACAGACCAAGCAAGTGCATATATCAAATAACTTTTTTCTCAATACCAAAACCTAAGAAACTAAACAATTGTTTGATGTTGAATGATGATCCTAGTACAACTACTACTACTGCTCTGTGCCCGGCATCTGAACCATCATATGCGAACCCTACATTCACACAAACAAAAAGTTTAATCAGTTTCTCAGCAGATTACAAATACCATATATACAGTATACGGTTCAAGAACCAGGAACAAATGAGGGCCTAGTCAGAGTTCATGTCCTCGTTCTTGTCTAGGTTCTAAAAAGTGGATATGCATATATATGATTCTCACTGAGTCTATGTTAACTCCTTTTAATTGGTTTTGACACTCTTGTTACATATAAGCATGAACCTTTGTTTTATGGGAAACTTACTTGAGAGTTTCCATAAGAGCCTTGCGAGAAAGAGCCTTGGTGGTCAAGCTGCGGAAACTGTTCAGAAGATTAAGAAAAATCAGGGAAACGATAAAGTAGCTCGCACATTTCATACTTAGGTCAGATGTCTGTGTCAATTGGAGAAGATGGAGTCATTACCTGAGCCGCTTGACTTGGTTGACCGTCTCTCTTTGCACCCGAATCCCCACCTTTTCCTGATCCCTTAGCATCACCCTATCACACAGATATAACAATGAGCAGAGGATACCAAACAATCCTAATTAGATGAAACTGGACTAAACCGATAAACAGATAAATAAGTGAAAGAGGATAAACCACTGACCTCCATCTTCAAAATTCGATTCCACATAGCATAGAAGAATTCAGAAAAGAACAAAACAACAGAGAGACAGTGAGTGAATAAATTGCAGAAATTCTCTTGATGCATAGTAATAGCAGAAATTCTCAATTTTGTTTCAAATGGAAACTGAATAAGGTGGAGTGTGGAGCATGTACCTCTCTATATCTTGTCAGATAAAGCTTCAAGGGCTCAATGTAATCTTCGAATCCTAAAGTGGCCATTGCCCAAAGCAAATCCTCTCCGTTAATGGTCTTCCTCTTCTCTCTTTGGCACTTATCACTCGCTCTGCTTGTCAAAAACATGCACAACAACCTCATTGCATCATCATACAAATACAAACAAAACTCTATCCCAAAATTGGCTTAGTGAATTTCTACAGAATCCTAACTTAAACAGCCCAAAAGAAGCAAACTTTAAGTAATGAAACAGCATATCCTTCAATCTCCCAAAACAAAATCAGATATTGATGCATCCCAAATCAGCTAAAAGTAATAAAACTTTGAGAGAAAATTTGGTAAAGGCAATTACTCGCTGGTGACGAAGCTGATGAATTCAGAGACGCACTCCTGCATCGTCTCTTTGGCATCTTTAGCGATTTTGCCATTTGCAGGCAAACCTCTCTTCATGATACGGCTTATGTTAGCGATCGGGAGAAACCTATCCTGCTCACGAACATTCATCGACCTCGGGCTCTGATCGCCGCCACTGTCATGGCTTCCACCGCCTCCTCCGGGACTCATCCCCGACGACTTAGCCTGCGAATCCGCCATCTATTGAGCTGAGATACAAGGAAAAACGAAGATAAGCAGAGACCTAACAAAATTCCAGCTAAGAAATCGGAAATTGGGAGAATCAATTAGCCAAACGAGAAAGCGTTGGGAAGTGAGATGAGAGATGATGATTACCTGAACAATTTGAAAGAAGAAGAAAAAAAGCGGGAGAGCAGAGAGGAAGGTTGATTGGAGGAGAAGAGCGCAGGAGAGAGATAGATCCGATCCGACGCTGGAGAAGAGAAGAGGGAGACAAGTATCGTCTGCGATTTGAGAGATTAGGGATTTTAAGATTTTTTTGTTTTTTTTTTTATCACCCTTCGTTTATTGATATTCGCATTTCTATATAATTTTGGTTCGGTTTTTTTCTTTGGAAACTCGATCAAAATATGGAACAATTATTTATTAGCATAATGTTATGCAAAAAAAAAAAAAAAAATCTAGCATAAGAGTATTGAAATAATTAAATTTGCAGTAAAATGTATTATTAATTTTTTTTTAGGATATCTATGAATTTTGTTGTTATGATTAAAGTTCTTAATTCACTAAAAAAAGAAAAAAATATAACAAGATTTATCAGCAAAAGAAGAATAGCAAAATAGTTGAATCATGAAAAACCAGAAATATTGGAACACTAAAATTAGGATAGTAAAATAGCTAAATAACAAAAAAACTACTTTCTATTAGATGAGTGATTTATCTAATTTAGTTATAAAATTAAAACATACAGAATGAATTAAAAAATCACATTTTATCATTTTGTACTTTGTATGAATGTTATATCGAATAGACCCCCATAGCTATTGCAAACTATTTGAAATTAAGATATAACTTAGAGTTTTTTTATTGCAATATATTCACAAAACAATTTTCAGCAACAAATGTGCCAACAACATTTTACAAAAATAAACTTTTTTTTAAGGGAGATTTGTGAATATACCCCCAAAAGAGAGAACTATTGTCCCCTTACACTTTTTTTGAAATTTATCAAATCTGGACTCTAATACCCTTACATATGCTAGAAATATGATATAAATATATTTAAAAGTTTTAAAAAATTAAATAAATTAAGTAAAATGATTCTAAGGTTTAGAGAATATTTTCACAATTTGTTTTTGAAATTTGAACCTCAGAAAAATAAATAAAATTTGCATCTACCAAATTCATTATTCAAAGTAGAATTTGTCTTCTACTAGAGACTCTCACATCTATCCCTCGTAGAACATAAAATCTACCAACTGTTCAGCCATCTACCATCGTAGAATTTGCTTTCTACTAAATACTCTATACTCTACGAGTTGGTAGAGTTGTAGAACATTTGTTCTACGTTGTATACGGTTTTCTACCGTTGGTAGAACCTATATTCTAACCTACACATTGTTTTCTACCATCTCTAGAATCTATATTCTATCATAAACAATTTCTTCCACTATTTGGAGAATTCGTGTTCTACACAAAATACTATCTTCTACTATTTGTAGACTTTGTGTTCTCCTGAAAACAATGTCTTCTACTGTTTGTAGAAACTATAATCTACATTAAACACATTTTTCTACGAAATGATAGAATTCAACTTCTACGAGAATCTAAAAAATATAGTAAAAATGGTAACTAAATATTAGAAAATATCTTCAAAAACTATATTTCCTTAATCTACTTTGCCAGAAGAAAAAAAAGAATTCTCATCACGTTCTTCTTCTTCTTTTTTGCTTTTTCTTATCATTTATATAATTTTCTTTTAGATTATTTGTTTTAATCTATTTTTCTCAGGTTATTCTGTTGCATATCTATATAACATATGGAGACTGAGTGCAATCAAATGGTGGAATTTCGTTGTTGGTGAGGCAAAAGGAACTAGATTACTTGCTTTGAAATATATTTTTCTTTTCTTAAATAATTAATTATTTATTTGTTTATTACACTAATCATTTAATTTCATTTATTAATTATTTATTTATTTGAAAAAATCATGAAAACGTAATTTGAGGGTTAAAATTGGATTTAAAATTTAATTAAGGGTAAGTGGACAAGATTTGGCAAAAAAAGAGTAGATGGACAACTCTTCTCTTTTTCTGGAGTATTTTGCCAAATTTCCCATTTTTTAAACACTTCAGAAAGAAACTCATAAAAATCAAAACGAATTTTACAAATTTACATATAATAACAATGCCATTTTTTTAATCAAATTTTCATAAGAAAGAATCAGTATTAATTATTATTACTTATAGTTTGTTTTTCTTGAGTAACACACCAAACTTCTTCAACATTTTGCCATTCTCAACAGAATCAGTTCTCACTTCGTCATTGTTCAGTATAGAAGCTGCCGTCTCAGCAGCCTTTCTCCATTGCTCACACTGAACCTTCACTCTCTTAAGCTCAGCTTCCATGGCTTCCATGGCCTCCGTGTTTACGGTTTCCACTTTCTTCTCCAATTCACTCTTCAGTCTCTGAAGCTCCATCTCCTTGTCCATCAAACTCCCTCTCACTTCCACTAATTCCGATTCAAGCTTCTTCACATCACCCGTAAATTCATTCTTGTCCATTAAATCTTTGCGCAAAACCTCTGTTTCAGCTTTGGTTCTCTTCAGTTCTTGATCTAACTCTGCCTCTCTCTGTAAATATCTTGATTTAACCGCCTCGGTTTGTTCGTAAGCGTTTCTTATCTGCAGTGTGCTTTGTATATACTCTTCTTGGTACCTTGACTCTGCTACTTGAAGCGCAGATTTCAGTTGCATGATCTCTTGCCTCGCAAGATTCATTGCTTCTTTCAGATTTTCCACTTCCACTGATGATGATGAAGAGTTTCTTTCTTCCTCGAGCTGTCTAACAAGTTTCTCCAAAGATCTTGCCTCAAATTTAGACCGCTCCAACTCTGACTCGGACTCAAACAGCTTCGACTTCAGCTTCTGAACTTCGTTAATAGCAGAAGACAGAGCAGATGAATCCATTCCGTGTTGTCTCTGCATAGCTTCAAGCTCGGATTGCCATGTCTTGTCTCGCTCCTGAGAGAGTTTACGCAGCTCCTCGATTCTTGAATCTTCTGAGGCATTGATCTCCGTTAACTGCTGCTTGGCGTCCTCAGCTTCTTCTTGAGCTTCCCTCTTCAATGCCTCTGATCTGTTTAGCTCTTCCTTTGCCTTCTTAAGCTCTTCTTGCAACTGAGATATCTGAGATTCTTGTTCTGGTGTCCTTCCTGTCCGTTTCTTCTGAATCTTGAATCATGTACATACAAAAATCAAGAATCCAAAGTAAATTTGCATACACCAAAATCAACCACAATCTTTCATGTCAATATAACTTCAAAAGTACCTCATTGAGAGGGATTCTTGGAGAGCGACGATCAGCTACTACTTTTGGGATTTGAGTTTTTGGTATTGACTTGGTTTTTGGATCAGATTCTGTTCCGCTTGGCTTGAGTCTCCGAACAATTTTTGGACCTGGTAAAGGAGATTTCTTATGTGGCAACTCCAAAGAACCAGGCCTATCATACAAACACAATCACATCAAGAACATTGATACAGATTAAAAATACTTGCAAGAACATGGAAGAGCAAAACAGAGAAACTAAGTTAGAGTTAGGATCAACACCTTGATTTTTGAGTTTGCATTTTTTTGGGATCCAGCGTTTTAAACCTTCTCTTTTTTTTCGTGTAATCAATTACCTTATGATTGCTTCTTTGAAGAATCTCTGACAAACAGTACATGAAGACAAAAATTAAATGTGTGAGAAAGAAGCGAAAGAGGAAAATGGAATTATCACAACCATATATGCAACAAACTCGGAGGAATTAGAAAGCTTAAGCAAGTGTACAAAAAAAACCATAACCAATTAAAATAGTTAGAATAAAGATTTTACGTTTAGCTTCAAAGAGACTACTACTGCCACCAAACGAAGACAAAGATACATTAAGGAATACTGAATTTCATTTGTAACAAATAGATAACATTTTGAAGTCTATAAAGAAATGAAGTTGCCATCAATGTGATTTGAGAGATAAACCCTACTACAAGCAAAGAAAGCTCCATATCCTCCACATAATCTTTTTGCTTGTTAAGTCACCAATTTTTCTGGTTTCTTTTTCGTTCTTTTTCAAAGTTTTGGATTTATGAAGGAGAAGAGACAACTTCTTGTCATTTAGTCAATGTGAGATTTGGTTATATTAGGTGGTTCTTCCCAAAAAAGAAACACAGATCTAAAAGTGAAATACCCAGAAAGCAATCATTTACATATGCCTAAAACTAGAATCTTTTAACATTTTCTGAATAAAAACATAATAAGATTTAATATAATCAAAAGAAACACTTTTTGCTTTTGCAGGCAAACCTTAATGTTTCTGACAGAATTTGTAAGGTTCGAATCAGAAAACGAGGTTGATTTGAGCAGAGCTAAGCATATTCAAACAAAAAAACCATTAGAGATTTACAATTTTACAGCAAATTTTCAAACAAGCTAGTACATACCTAGAGAAGAAAATGAATTCCTACACAAATTTGGGAACAAATCCTGTGAAGAAAAAATAAAGAGGAGAATTTTAAGTATTTGACAAAGTCTTGAAGAAATATTCACCTGTACCGTCGATTTAGCTTCCTTTCGTTGAACAAATCGGATTTAACCAAAAATAAGAAAGAAAAAAAAAACGAAAATGAAGAATTGCAAACCAAACACGAACTTTAGAGTTTACAGATGAATTGATCTTCAGACATCACTCGTCGGATTTGCTTATATCAGTGACTCACAGCCTTTTTTCTTCCTCAGTGAGCAACATTTCAACAAAAGTTGAAAATATATCAAAAATTACCCCTGAAGTAATGATTATGCCGTTTCCACCTTGCTTCTTTAATTTTCTACACTTTAAAATGTTTCTTTATCTGATATAATTGTTTTTCTAATGTAATGAATAACATACATCTTGGATTCGTTTATTATTCTGAAAAACTTTAATTTCGCTTTGGAATGATTAAAATTCTCGTGGGGTTGATAGTGTCATCACCAAATATCAAGGGACTATTTGAAAATGATTAGAGAAGATGAAATGAAATGAGAACGTGGAGAGGGCGTTATTTTAGCTACGCGTTTTGTTGACTCGCCCGAGTCACGTGCCATTGTTCGACCATATTGCTACTTACTAACGAACGGTCACGCAACACAAGTCACAAAAACAAAAAAGGATCATACACATAATCCTTGCAATTTTATTTTATTCTTTAAAATCTTCATTTACAGATATTATAGCTGTTAAATCATGTTAATATGCTATGTAAATGTAGCAGATGGTCCAGATTTTCGGTATGTATATCTTACATCCGAATGATTCTTCCCTAGTTTAATAACAATTTGAAAATACATGGTGTTGAAAATAACAATATGATCCATTGACAACACAATACATGGTGTTGAAAATAAAATTAATAGATATATAACTATTATATTTTAACTATTATGTTGGTGGTTTAGGTAGCTATTAAACTGAAACTCATACTAATCTTTGAAACGTGATAAAGTTGAGAATTTATTACCATTTAAAATGTTTATAATGGTCAAGAAGTATAAACGAATATTTTTCCATTTCTACAAACTACTGGCTCATGTTATTGATCTTTGTAACATGTAATATATTTTTCAGACCATTTAACAACCAAAACTTTAACAGAAATTGATAACAATATAACTTATTGTGTCTTGAAAGTCATCAAATTGAATAAATAATATTGATATTCAAATGAATGTATGTCTATTTTCACTTGTAATTGGCTTGTTCTCACCATTGCACTACATGCATGAGAAAGTAAGATCATATCCATTTGCTGCATCAAACTGCTTTCGACATTCATCAAAAAGGCTCTAGGAGACCAAGTAGAACAATTCTCTCAATACTTCACCTCCTTCATTTACAAAATGCACTTAAACTACACATATATCCCAACGTGAAAATCCAACGGTTAGCTCTGCAGGGACGAGATATCTAAACAAAGTGGAAGCAAAGTTAACATATATCTACAAGAGAGACAAAAGAGTGGAAGAGAGTTAAAAACACATCCACTTACATGTTCTTGTCAATCTCAGGAACATCACTCTCTATGCTCTTTTCCACAATCACCTACAAGTTTCAGTTTCAAGTTTTAGAACAATGCCTTAACTAAGTTTAGTAAAAGAAGAAAATGTTAGTTATGAAATCATGAGAGCATACAGGAATATTGTGAGTGTACTTGACTCTGAGTTGTGTAGCTTCTGCAAAACTTGCCTCTGAAAGCTTGAAGGAAACTGTATTCATGGCGATTTGATCTGTCTGTACAGAGGAAAATAATTTTTTTTCAGGAAACAAAGGACCACACAACATGTATTAGATTGACACTCAAAGTTTCTTAATATATGTTTAGGTCACGCATGTAGATAAATAGCAATTTGTGTTCACAGAACAAATATGTGGTCTCTAATTCTATAGTTTTATATCATGAGCTATAACTTATAATAAAGAAAAGGGTTACTTACAAAATTATTCAAGGACACTCTTATACAAGTTTTAGCACGCAAAATCCTAATCTCCAAAATTTGCATCAGTAAGCACTAGCACTTTGTTATTGCCTGAAAATGATTTTACATGTTCTATGTATCTCTTCTTTTAATGATCCACAGAGGAACAGAGCTCTCTTCTACAAGTTTTGTCACGCAAAATCCTAATATCTTACTCTGCATCACTCAAGCATATGCCTAATACACACCTAGTTATTGCCTGAAAGTGATCTAAAAAGTTCTATGTATCTCTCTCTTCTTGTAATGATCCAGAGAAAACAGAGCTCTCTTGTACAAGTTTTGGCACGCAAAAGCCTAGTCTCTTAATTTGCATCATACCTAATACACACATTGTTATTGCCAGAAAGCGATCTAAAAAGTTCTATGTATCTCTCGTCTTGTAACGATCCAGAAAGAAACAGAACTCTCTTATACAAGTTTTGGCACGCAAAATCCTAATCTCTTAGTTTGCATCACTCAAGAACATGCCTAATCTCTTAATATATGGCTCAAACCCGTCTCCGTTTCCATTCAGAGGAAAGCATTATCATAAATCGAAACAAAAAAACAAGATTCAAGAGTTTTACCTCAAATTCAGAGCCTATGGAGGAGATTTCGCGTTCGGGGATCAAGTCAAGGTTTGCGGTTAGGAAAGCTGCGAAGAGAATCGGAAAATTGAAGCCAGATTAGGGTTTGGCGTGATCAATAAGCAAATGATTGTGATTTTGTCCATGGAGGAGATGAGGACGATAAACGACAACTAGAATCGAGAAAGAAAAAGCAACATACCCGACGAAGAAACTGTATGCGATTCGTGGAACTAGGTTTTGATCGCTTCGACGGAAACTGGAAAAGGATCGAGACGAGGGAGAAGAAGCTACAGTCGGAGCTTTAAACCACAAATGTGGAGGGAGACTTATATTTTTATTATTTACAAAAATAATACCTAAATATTTCTCTTCGGTCCTCAAATTGTTGTTACTGTTATAAAAGTGACCTCCGTCTTTTTAATCTTTACAAACCGAAGAAGCAAAGATAAATCAGCTCCAGATTCCAAGTTTTAAATCCGACGTCATAGGTTTGTCTTTGTGGAGGATTATATATATGGATTAATCAGCTTATATTGATTTCGTGTTATCTATGTTTTTTTGTAGTCAAGTGCAGATTTGGTAAGAAAGGTCAAAGCTTTTAAGCATAGCTCATCTGTTTCTGACACTGTACACCACCTGCTCGATAAAATGTCTGTGAGATCAATCCTTTTTCTGATTATATATCTCATATTTGAGTGTTTGTTTCTGAAACATGATTTTGCAGGCATTTTATAGCAATGGTGAATCCTTTGCTTGTTTTGTTGGATGCTGACATGTCTTTATTTAGCTGAACCTTCCACTCATATTCCTTCACGCAAGGAAGTATCTGCTATAAAGTTTGAAACTTGATCGAGAAATGGCAAACATCTTACGATCAGGAGCTAGAGTTGCCTTCACCAACAGTCAGGTGGTACCGGCGACGTGTAGTGTGGCATCAACCAGCAGGACGGAAGAGTCGATGAATGATCACATCAACACTCTCTGTAAACAGAGGTTTTACAGGGAAGCACTGGAAGCTTTTGATCTCTCACACAAGAACTCAAGCTTCAAGATAAGTTTAAAGACCTATGTTTCTTTAATCTGTGCTTGCTCTTCCTCGAGATCTCTGGCGCAAGGCAGGAAGATACACGATCACATATTGAGATCCAACTGCAAGCATGATACTATTCTCAATAATCACATTCTGTCTATGTATGGGAAATGCGGCTCGCTGAGGGATGCTAGGCAAGTCTTTGACTCTATGCCTCAGAGGAATTTGGTCTCTTACACATCTGTGATTACTGGATATTCGCACAACGGTCAGGAAGCCGAGGCGATCAAACTGTACCTGAGAATGCTTCGGGAAGATTTAGTTCCTGACCAGTACTCGTTTGGAAGTATCATCAAAGCATGTGCTGGTGCTGGTGATGTTGTGTTAGGGAAGCAACTTCACGCTCAAGTCATTAAGTTGGAACCTATCTCTCACCTTGTTGCTCAGAATGCTCTTGTTTCCATGTATGTCAGCTTCAATCAGATATCAGACGCAAGCAGAGTGTTCTCTGGTATTCCAACGAAGGATATAATCTCGTGGGGTTCCATCATTGCAGGGTTCTCGCAGCTTGGTTACGAGTTGGAGGCTCTGAGCTACTTAAAAGAAATGTTGTCTTATGGATTTTTCCAGCCAAATGAATATATATTTGGTAGCTCTCTGAAAGCTTGTAGCAGTCTCCTTCGACCAGACTATGGAAGCCAAATACATGTTTTATGCATTAAGTCTGGCTTCTCTGGAGACGCGTTTGCAGGATGCTCGCTCTGTGACATGTATGCAAGATGTGGCTTTCTTAGCTCTGCGAGGAGAGTGTTTCATCAGATAGAGAGACCTGATACAGCGTCATGGAACGTGATCATCGCTGGACTTGCAAATCACGGCTACGCTGATGAAGCTGTATCGTTCTTCTCTCAGATGAGGAACTCTGGTTTTGTTGTTCCTGATGCTATCTCCTTGCGTTCTTTGCTTTGTGCTCAGACGAACCCAACGGCTCTGCGTCAAGGCATGCAGATTCACTCTTTCGTTATCAAGTACGGTTTTCTGTCAGATCTTTCGGTTTGCAACTCTCTTCTCACCATGTACAACTACTGCTGCTCGGACGACTTGTATCGTTGCTTTAGGATGTTCGAAGACTTCAGACACAACAAGGCGGATTCTGTTTCTTGGAACGCTGTTCTGGCGGCGTGTCTGCAACACGAACAGCCAGCGGAGATGTTGAGATTGTTCAAGATGATGCTCCTCTCTGAATGTGAGCCGGATCACATAACCATGGGGAATCTGTTGCGTGGCTGTGTGGAAATCTCATCTCTGAAACTGGGAAGTCAAGTCCATTGCTACAACTTGAAAACCGGGTTGGTTCATGAAAAGTTTATAACAAACGGTCTGATTGATATGTATGCCAAATGTGGATCACTGGGGCAAGCGAGAAGGGTTTTTGATGCAATGGATAACAACCGAGACGTAGTTTCTTGGAGCAGTTTGATAGTTGGATATGCACAGTCTGGATTTGGAGAGGAAGCTCTCGTATTGTTCAAGGAAATGAAAAGTTCAGGGATAGAGCCAAATCATGTAACATTTGTTGGTGTTTTAACCGCATGCAGTCATGTTGGGCTAGTAGAAGAAGGCTTGAAGATGTATGCAATTATGCAAACCGAATACGGGATTACGCCAACGAAAGAGCACTGCTCTTGCATGGTCGACTTACTAGCTCGTGCAGGCCATTTAGCCGAAGCAGAGAAGTTCATCGACGAAATGAAGTTGGAACCTGATGTGGTAGTGTGGAAGACTCTGCTCTCTGCATGTAGAACACAGGGAAACGTTGATCTCGCTCAAAAAGCTGCTGAAAATATTCTGAGGATTGATCCTTGTAACTCTACAGCTCATGTATTGCTCAGTGGCATGTATGCTTCTGCTGGAAACTGGGAAGATGCAGCGTTGTTGAGGAGCTCGATGAAGAAGCATGATGTTAAAAAGGTTCCGGGACAGAGCTGGATTGAAGTTGAGGATAAAGTTCATGTATTCTTTGCTGAAGATGTTCTTCATCCAGAGAGGGATGATATATATACAGTCTTGCACAATGTTTGGTTGCAGATGGTAGATGAGTGTAAACCGCAGCACAAGAAAAGAGTACTCCAATTTCTCGATGAGACCGGATTAACAAACTTGCAAGTGTGAATTTTTGTTCTCTTGAAAGAAACTACAGAGAGAATGTCATTGTGTCTCATATGTAAGTTGCATCTTCTTCCATCTTGCTCTTGCTTGAAGAAATTGCCGTAATATAGATATCTTAATCAAGAGCATCCAAAAGATTGTTCCATTAAGGTTCATAAGTTTCATAACCGTAGATGTGACAACTGCTGAAATAGTAGACCAGAACCATGTTTGTCTTTTATTTAAGTTTGCAAAGAAAGACGTTAAACCAGTGTAAAGATATTACTAGTCTATTGCCATGAAAAACAGGTTGTACAATAAAACCAGAGGAAGAACATTTCTGTTTGCCTCCATTATTATTATTCTGGTTCTGGCACTGAGGGGTTTTGATAGTTATTTGGTATCCCTAATCTTTGGTCTATTGTCCTCCATTTGAAGAAGGCAAGAGAGTAGCGAACTTTTATCCATCATCTCAACTTGGGGAGGACATGGTAGCGATTCCATCCACCTTGGGAGCACGGAAATGAAAAGAGTGATTGGAAATCCAGAGTCTGCTTCAAATCTTATATTCATATGCATCTCACACGCAGACTGGTTCACGAAACATTTTCCAAGACCATCATCATCATCAATAGACCTTCTTCTTGACTCGTCGTCTTCTCTCATGATTTGGTAGCTTTGTGTCTGCAAGTTACAAGATACCAAATGACGATGCTGTTGACTCCATAGGTAGACAAGATTGGGATCAAACGGATTCATAGCCAAGGGAGCATAGTAGAGGATATCATCATCACAAGTTATAAACGGGAGGCGAGACTCCCACAGAAGCTGCCAATCATCATTCTTGGTCAACATCCAAACCTTCAAAAGACTGTGAGGTAGGGTTTTGATATACATGACAGACCCGGAGGATGTGGTCAAGGTTCTTTTGAAGAACCGGTTGTGATCCGGATCATGATCCGGGAGAGGTATAACCCGACAACGATCGGATTCACCATATAAATCATGAGCTATAAGCACTCCTGGTAGACCAGCAGGATCATCAGTACCATCATAACCTGATGGTGATATATAGAGCGTCCCGTTCAGAGCCTCAGCAGGAGCCCAACTGGTGTAGTAATGTAAGCAATCAAGACGCTTTTCAGACCAAACACCTGTCTCAGACGAGTACACCAAAAGATACAAAGAAGTCATTGATTCTTGTCTCTTGGCTATATGTTTAGCGAACTTAACCAGTTTGAAGGCAAGAACGACACCGTCCTCGTCCACGCGCGTCACCAGAAGGTCCATAACAATGGAAAGATTTGCATACGGATCTGGAGAGGAAGGGATTCGAACCCACTGTTGTAATACTGGATTGCCCACGAAGCAAGTATTATTACTATATCCATGAATGCAAACCAATCCACTGGAAGAAGCCATGTAAGTGAACTTGCCTGTTACATGACTCGTAATACAACAAGCCAGAGACTTTGGAAGATCCCATGTCTCGCATCTATGCAAGTTTATTACATCACTCCACATCAGTAGTGACCAAGAGGAAGAGGAGTTTTTGTGGAGAGACACAAAGAGCCTGCGGAAGTAGTTTGTTTCTGTTGTCGATTTCCATGTTTTGCAAACCGATTTGAATCTCGAGATGCTTCTCAAGGGCAGCCTCGCTAGTATCTCCGTCAGAATATCCTCAGTAAACATGATGATGCTTGTTGTTTGCTCTTCCGTCCATAAATTAGGGTTTCGGGTTCTTGGGAAGCAATCAAAGCCAAAGTAACAAGATTCTTAGCATTTAATCCAACGGTTGAGATGCTTTCTATTAGGATGAGGATTTTTTTTATTTATTGATGATATCTTCCATAAATTATATTTCTACAATTTGTTAGTGTTCCTTTCCTTGTATTGTATTGATTTACTTTTGAGATAACGAAGTCAAAATAAATTATATTCATTTCCTTTCTTCATGCTGATTAAAAAAGGTAAAAAATTCTACTGCTCATCTGCTCATGATTGCTCAGTTACCTCAGTAGTATATGCATGCTTCTGCTGGAAATTGGGAAGATGCAGCGTTGTTGAGAAGATTCCGGGAGAGAGCTGGATTGAAGTTGAGGATGAAATGCATGTATTCTTTGCTGAACTTGCTACAACTACGAATTAGTAACATTTCTAAAAATTTGAAAACCTAAAATACAAGAAAATGTTCAACAGTAACTTCATAACTAAAGGTGACAATACTTGAGACACAAGTCTCTCACTACAGATTTAAGACGACACTCTCATTTGGAAACCAAAAATGAAACAACGAGAGAGAGAACAAAGTAAAGCCAAATTCCAAGTTTTTGATAACTCAAGAACATCCAAAAGATTGTTCCAATCATAATATTTTAAGGTCATAATATTTTAAAGCAACAGATCTTTAAGACTTAAGAGCAGAGATTCATCTAAAACAAGAACACAAACACAGAACAAAAGAAAACAACTCCAAGTGCTTAAGAACATTCAGATAACATCATCGAATGAGACTGGTGATTTTGCATCCGAAACCTCTGCTTTCTCCTTCTCCAACTGAGCTTCGAGATCTGAGCACTTGTGTTTCAAATCTTTCAGCTCTTCCTCAATTTCTTGCACCCGAGTCTCACCAGCTTCCTCTTTCTCCTTCTTTGTCGATATCTCATCGAGTTTCTTCTCCAACCAATCCAACTTGAATCCAGCGTCAGTCAAGGGTCGCAATGCAGCATATGCCTCAGCGATATCAGACTGGTGGAGCTTGTGAGGCGAATGGCGAAGAGTCTCGATCAGACTAATTAGCAAACTCATGTAACCTGTCCTCAGAGTTGGGTTCTTTGGACGGAACTCAGAAGCAATCTCAGGGTGTCTTTCAAACATATGACTCGCAAATTCCACCTAAGAGTGTAGTGTCAGAAGTATAAAGTATTGAATCAATATTCAGAGAGGCAATTTTAGGAGACAGCACACGTACAAATGCACCATACTATAGAGAACACCTAATGTTTGTCTCTCTTGGCTGAAACATCTACTCAAAATGGTTAATCATTAACCTGTGAAGAGTGAAGTTGAAAGCCACCCACGGTTTCCATTATTGTTGAAGTTTTCTCTGATACATCTAATTTGCCAATAACTTCAAGAACCTCCACCTCCGCAACAATTTTGATCTCTCCTTTCACGAGAAATCCGCTGTCTTCAGCAAATTTATGCAGGGGAAAATTAATTACACAGTGAGGACACTTCTCATCAAACCACCTTTGTGTTCCTGTAAAATCACAAAACAGATTTTATATAAGCAGTGGATAAAGCACTACATAAACTGTGCTCATGTTTCTAGAATATTGAACTAACAATGCTCACAACTTGGCACAAAGCCTTAACTAACCCAAAACTACTCTAGGTAGCATTTTCAACTCTCCTATTTTCCAAGTATAAGAAGTGATTAAGTTGTGTTTATGATACTGTCATTGAAAATAACTAGGAGACAAGAACTCTTGGGGAAGCGAGCAAATGGAAGAAATATAATCACCATTTTGTCCGGAAGGTAGTACCGAAGGAGTCACATTGAGCATTTTCCATCCAATACTAATAGGCAGGCGTAATTTCTGGTATGTCATAATTACGACATATCGGGCATGTATACTCCACCCAGAAGGCAATGATTCATGATCAGCGACTTCCAAAAACATGAATAAGCGATCATCTAAGTCGCGAACGGCACCAAGAAACCTGCAGGAAGCACAAACAAAGTAGTCGGCAACGGCAACACTGTGGTGAATATCACCTAAAATCTAGCATGGATGAAAACACTTGATAAACGCACCATTTGCATCCACCAAGGACGAACTGATCAGAATGAATTTCTTCTGATCGCAAAAGGGGTAACTTCTTAATCGTCCAAGTGATCGTCTTTTTACATTGCTTCTCCATGATCTTGATGAAGATTCCTCTGCTAAGAGAAGAACAACCCTACTTCGTACTTATAATAACTCGACTGACTCACAAGAGGAATGTGAACAACCATGTTTCCTTTATGACTTGATTGGTACTCTGCCACAATTTATGAAATAGTAAATGCTAAGAGTCATTTTCGAGAAACTCTACTTGACTCTCTCTCTCTCTCTCTCTCTCTCTCTCTCTCTCTCTCTCTCTCTCTCTCTCTTCATATTCTGAGAAAGAGAGTACAGTACTTGAATATCATCAAGATTCATATCCGTGACCGTAAGTCTATGTGAAAAATGTGAAATCTGAGACTGAAAACAAGTCAGTGGACAGTGAACTCTGAATTATGTGAGAACTCGAGAAAGTTTCTTGATTGAAAGATCTGTTTTCGTAATAATAACCAAAGATGGACTCTCCTTTGTGTTTTGATTCTGTTTATATGCAGACGTCCGTAAGATCCAGTTCGACATTGCCTATAGTCTGATCATACTTTTTGTGTATACAAACATCAAATACGAGTACACATATCAATGGACCCAACTTCAAAACGATTGTAGCTTTTCTTGTGTAACCGGTTTGGTTTAGGTCACGACATTAATAACAAAACGTTTGAAAGGAAACCAAGAAACAAACTGACAACTCAAATGGGATCAAAGATGAGAAAATTGTTGCAAAGATGATGAGGAAAGACTCTACAGCTGCGACCAAAATGTGTGTGTGAAGTCAAAACTAACCAGAACCAAAACACAAAAAAGTCTATTCAAGCAAAAGGGTGATTTCTACTTACTCTCCAAGTGAAATCATACAGGACTCAAGACAGAGAAGTAAAGGAAGAAGAAAAAACCCGCAGGGGTCAAACTTTAGTAACAAGGCACAAGGTGGCTTCTACTCTCCAGGGACAGCGACTCCTTGCTTGAGCTTCTCGCGCTTGAGCTTCTTCTTGGAAACCGGCTTCTTCTTCTTCGGAGGTAAGTTCTTCTGAGCATACACGTAGAGCACGATGTTGGCGATAAGGAAAATAAGCAGCGGACCTCCAACAACTAGCAGCACGATTAGTCCCGGGTTCAGTCCTTTGGCTTCAGCAGCCGCCTATTGGAATGTCAAGACCAATCATACCAGACAAGTTAATAAACAAGGATCTAGGACAAACCCAAATGCTAGTCACAATCACTAAAAACCGGGTATGTACTTAAACTTAAGCAACAGGATTAAGATTATTGCAAAGCGTGCAAGGGATCAAATTCGAAACCATGATCACATGACGTTTCAAACAAGAATACATTGGATGCTCAACAGGTAAAAATGTGTCACTATAAGCCACATAATGTATAGTACAAGACCTCTTATAGATTCATCTTTGTGCATAATTCAGGGGAAGCCACTAGTCAGGCATGCGAATTGATACACATTGTTGCATATATAAACGCAATAACTCAAAAACCAAAATGAGCTTTTTTTCATTCAAAATATTCCCAATCAGCATTCATATAAGTCACTGATCCTGCGACTCAAACCAAATACCGTAAAAGAAAATCCATTTTCAAACAAATATGTTTCTCAACAAATTCCAAATTTTTCCAAACACCTGTTCTGCAATTGCATGCAAAGAAAGCAAAATTTCGAAATAACCCTACAGCTCATTCGGATCGCAATTTTGAATTCCAATATAAATAAATCACGAATACAATCCTAAGAAATCTAATTGCACATTCCGGGATCGCTTAAGAGGATCTGTTTAATTACATAAACGCTGCAATATATTATAATGGCGATTGACGGTACCTTTCCGGCAAAATCCTCGCCACCCATGAATCAGAATCTGTGAGATCAGCTCCGGCAACGTTACAAATGGTAAGAGGAAGAGGAGAGAATGCTTTCTGAAAAAGAAGATCTGTTTTCTTCGAAACAGAAGCGATTAAAAGAGACAAAACACACGCAGATATATCTACACACGTGTGTTTCATCCACTACATTGCCACTTCCAGTCATTGGAAAACTCTTTATTTGGACCCATTACTTTTCACATATTCTGGATTTTAACCCGTATATTTTATTATGTTCAAATAGGCCCATTTTTAAGTATTTAATGTTTTTTTTTTTTTAATGTTTAATCAGGTTTTATGAATAGCAAAGTAACCGATTTCAAAGTAACGGAAAATTCCCATCGTTTTTCATTTTCTTTTAGGTTTGGTAGTACTGTAATTTGGTTTTAGATTTTTCAAAATTGTTCCGTTTGAGAATGTAATTGCAAATTGACTCATATTATATCACAAATTTCGAATAGTCGCTTGAATTGATAAACGGATTCCAAACAACCAATTCCAATATTGTTATCTTAGATACGTGGAAAAAAAATGAATTGAATATTACAAGTTTACAACACAAATCAAATTCTAAACGAAGAATCAAAACGCATCCGTTTCTTTGATCCAATCTTTCGATCTATACCAAATGGTCATCGTCGCTTCGAATCACAACGTTATGTTCGGGCACCGACCATGAAGAAGACCGGCTCGAGTTCAACGCCAAGGTATTGCAATCGGAGAGAGTATCTTGCAAACTCAGCAACAAATGCGAAGTGCTAAAACTCATGGTCGGTCTAGACTTAGGCACCACCGGTACATCAGCCTCACCAATCAGCATTTGCACCACTGACCTCATAGTGGGCCGAGCATCTGGATCCGGATGAGAACAGGCCAGGCCCACTACCATCACCCGCCACATCGCTCCTTCATCAAACTTACCTTCAAGCCTTAAATCAGCCGCTGACGAAACTCTCCCTTCTTTATACAAGCCCCAAACCCATTCCACTAAATTCGGATTCGCCCCAACATTTTGTCTCTGCGCATTTAAGTCCTTCTCGATCGGTCTCCTTCCGGTCAACACTTCCAAAACCACCGCTCCGTAGCTGAAAACGTCCGTCTTCTCCGTGGCGCGACCCGTGAGAAGATACTCCGGCGCTAAATACCCCATCGTCCCGGCGGCGACGGTCGCTTCCGGCGATTTATCGTGTTCGATTTGTCTCGCCAATCCGAAATCTCCGAGCTTGGCGTTGAAATTCTCGTCTAGCATTATGTTGCTGCTTTTAACGTCTCTGTGTATCACCTGATTCTCGCACTCCCTGTGTAGATAAGCGAGAGCAGACGCAACTCCGAGCAAGATCTTTTTCCGGTGATCCCACGGCAGCGGAAATCGCGACTCGTACAAAGCTTTATCGAGCGAACCATTCGGCATTAGATCGTAGACTAACAGAATCTCGCCTCTCTCGTGGCACCATCCTTGTAATCGGACGAGGTTTCTATGTCTGAGGCTTCCGATTATGGATAATTCCGACATGAACTCGTTCTTCTTGTCCTGAGAGCTGTGGCTGCATCGTTTGACGGCGACGATGTCTCCGGTTTCAGGTAACACGCCTCTGTAAACAATCCCGAAGGCTCCGTGTCCGATGATTCGATTCTCGTTGAAGCTCTTCGTGCCTGCTTTGAGCTCCTTGTAGCTGAATTCTTTAGGGGCTTTGATGATATCCGATGCGAAAGAATCAAATCTCTCGACGCGTTTGAACTTTCTCGAGTAAATCCAGAACAATCCGCCGGCGAAGAGTGCTAAGAAGAAAGCTCCGGCGGTTACTACTCCGGCGATCGCTCCCGGATTCTCTTTGCAGAGATGGTTGTGGCAAGAAGACGAAGTTTTTGACTGGGAAATTATCGGAATCGCGGAAGTAGACGGTTGCGACGCTAACGGCGGCGGAGAATTAACCGAATTAGCTTTCGGGTTCACTAAACTAGCAGTAGGAGGAGAGGGTACGGGTCTGGATCCAGGACCCGACACGAATGAGGAAGTGAAGCTCCACCACTCGATGCTGTGGATCTCTGTGCTTCCCTGAGTGGAACCGGAGAATCCGACGAACATGAAATCGTTCACGTAACGGTCTAGATCGAGAGGGAAAGACAAAACCGGAGATTTGGGTTTGAGATTCGAGTAAGAGACGGATACGTTGAAGACCCGGGTCGACCCGTCGTACTCGATCCACGAATTGACGGTGTTGCCACTCTTGAGATCGATGTCTATTGTGCCGAGATCGCCCGAAACAGACGAAACGACGCCGTTCACGTCGAATCCGACATGGTTGCTGTTAATGTCCTTGAAATCGACGTCCATTAACGTATCGAACTCGACAGCGACGAATTTGGAACCGGGCGACCCGGCAGGACCAACCAGACCCAGTAAGCCTCCGGCGGCGCCGATTGTGTTTTCGTCCGGGGAGATAACGAATGCGAGACCGCCGCCGATGGAAGACGGATTGACATTGGTGATGGAGAAGGAGAAAAAGGTGGAGAAGCTCGTCGGAAAGTGAGTTCCGGGTTGCCGGAATCTGATGGGGTTAGAGTACAAGACTTTCCCGGCACCAGAGTTAGGAACGGAGAGGTCACGCGTGAGGCTAACGATTCCATTGCTCAAACGAGCATCACCAAGGAGCTTCAAGTTGCTGATGGCGAGCGTTGAGAAATCAAACTCCGTCGTAGCTTCATTGAAATGGGAGAAGAAGCAGAGCAAGATCGGAATGAAAAACAGAGACGGAGGAGACGACATTATCTGTGGAAAATATGTTATGAGATAAGAGCCATTGGAGAAGAAGAGGAAGAAGAAAGATTAATTTTGGAGATAGAGAGATAGAGTTGATGAAGGTCACGGGTTGTGTATTGGGGCAATACTTTGCTTGGAGTAAAGTAAAGGAGAGGAAGAGACAAAGGAATAATATGGGAAGCGGACAGAAAAAGAGAATCCAAAGAGACAACGAACGAAACAGACAAGAAGATAGCCTTATTACGACACGTGGGTTTCCCAACGGCTATATGTCTTTATGTCTGAAAAAATTCTTGTGGAGAAAATGCGAGGAAAACGGAAGTGCTGAAAATGTGTTTACTGTATACTTTATGAGGGCAAAGAGACTTTTGTTTTTTCAGACATCTAAAGTACAAGTAACGGTCGTAGACTCTTCGAACGTAGCCGGTTATTACTATTCTTTGTCGTGGTCGTTGATTGAATCTACAGGGTATCAAAAAGGTCTCGCAAAATAATTGGATATCATATTTTTCAATTAACGAACTTTTGATAAAGTTTCTCTTTGTAGTTTTTATATCCATATGTATATCAATCGGACAAAAGTGAAATTTCGCCGAAACTTATACCGAACAGAACAAAGTTAAAACGCTAGTCTAGACCAAAGTCACCAAACAATTGACCCATCCGAAGCCAAATGGCCGTAATCACATCAATTGGTTAATTAGTAATGGGCTGTAATCTGGGCCAGAATTTGTGTATGATGATGTCAGCAGGCATGATCTCTACTCGTATCCAGATTCTTTGAAACCCGATAACAAACAACCAAACCCGACCCATCGACCAAATATCTCCAGCCGTTAAACGCTCTCTTAAGAGATCTTCACCGTTGGTTGGGATGACTTTTAATCGCTCAAAGAGTCAATGCATTTTTGATAAGCAAAATCAACAACGAAAAAGAAAGAGAGAGAGAGACAAGTAGTTGCATCATAATAACCCCTTTGATTCGGAAGCAGCAATTGGAGACCTCAGAAGAGAAGTTTGATCCTTTATCTAGTGATTTACATCGAAGAAGAGCGGAAGAGGATTGGGAATTTTTCTGGGATTCGATTTGATTGAGAGATAAGAGGAAATAGAACAAACCCTAGGGTCGTGGAATCGTGATCAGATGCTATTGGATAGACGATTCAGAGAAGAAAAACAGCAAGCAAGATGATGAACACTTCTAATGGAATGATATCGGCGCCGTCTTCATCGTCTTCACCAGCGGCGAATCCTCAGTCGCCGGGGATTAAGACTTATTTCAAAACGCCGGAAGGGAAGTATAAGCTCCACTACGAGAAGACGCATTCGTCTGGTCTCCTTCACTACGCACACGGCAAAACGGTTACTCAGGTGAATAATTGTTTGTAGGGATTTTGGTCTCGATGCTTTGATTCGTTTTTCTGATTGAAGTTTCTTCCGATTGGATTGTGTTTGAATTCGGATTTCTGATTGTTCCTATCGGGAAATTGAGAAAATTAAAATCGGTTGTGAAACTTTTCTTAGTGAAATTTGTATTCCAATGCATAAGGTCGTTAGTTGATAAATTGGTTTCACCAGCATTGCTTTCCTCTAGATTTTAGCAGATGAGGACTTCATTGTTGCGTGTTCTCTTATATTGGAATGTTCGGTTTCAGGTAACTCTAGCTCAGCTCAAGGAAAGAGCTGCTCCGTCGACCCCGACTGGAACTTCGTCGAGTTTCAGTGCTAGTAGCGGATTCCGTTCAGCAACAGCGAGATTGCTAGGCACTGGAAATGGAAACCGTGCGCTTAGTTTTGTTGGAGGCAATGGAGGTGGGAAGAGTGTGAGTACGAGTTCGAGAATTAGTGGCTCCTTTGCTGCTTCTAGTTCAAGCACGTCGATGACAAATACAAATTTCGATGGGAAAGGAACTTACTTGGTCTTCAATGTTGGTGATGCTATTTTTGTTTGTGACTTGAACTCACAAGACAAGGTAAATTATGGCTGGTCATTGTTTTTTTCTTTTAATGGTTTGACTGTAATGTTCTGGTTTCTTTGGATGTAATGGTTTTGGGATACTTCTTGGGTGTAGGATCCAGTAAAGTCTATCCATTTCAGTAACTCAAACCCTATGTGCCATGCTTTTGATCCGGATGCTAAGGATGGACATGATTTGCTTATAGGGCTGAACTCTGGGGATGGTAATGTGGAACTTTGAGCTCGCTTTTTTTTTTATTGTCTGATGTAGATGCCTTGTCTCTTGGATTCATTGTTTTGATGTGCTATTGTAGTGTACACTGTATCGCTGAGACAACAGTTACAGGATGTCTCTAAGAAGCTAGTTGGTGCGCTGCATTATAATAAGGACGGCTCTGTGAATAACAGGCAAGCTTTTTTTCCTGTGAACTTTTAATTGTGATATTACTTTTGTGACATCTCAAGAATCGATTCTACTGATTCATATTTGTTTTGTGTAAGGATCTGTAGTGTGTTCTTGAATTTGTACTTCTGGTAGTATTTTGTCAATGAAACAAGTTTAGGTAATTCATCTTCTGTCTTTGTAACGGATGTATGCTCTAGGCAACTCTCAGTGACAGTTAGCTAGTCAAATTATTACAAAACATGATGTTGTTCCAGAGGAGGACGGTTTTAGTTGGTTAAGTTGAAACATGAATTTGGCCAAGAGTTCTGGTCAACAAGAAGATAAAAAATATATTTTGTTCCATATCCTCTCTGTGATTAAAGTTAGTGTGTTGCTTTGTAACAGTCGTTGTACCAGTATTGCTTGGGTGCCTGGTGGTGATGGAGCATTTGTCGTTGCACATGCTGATGGCAATTTGTACGTGTATGAAAAGGCAAGTTCAGATATTAGAAAACATTTCTTGCATATGATTTTTAATTTGCCTGATTTTGTCTAGTTCCTGATCCTGATTAATATAACTTAATAGAACAAGGATGGTGCCACTGACTCAACATTTCCTGCTATAAGAGATCCTACACAATTTTCAGTTGACAAAGCAAAATATAGCAAGGTACGTGAGTTTCTTATCCTCTGCTTGTATCATCAGTTGCTAGTGGTCTTACGAAATTTATGTACTACATTTATTATGATGAGAAATGCATACTTTCTTCTGTCTTTGAGTGGATGTACTGGTGTTCAATCTCGTGAGTATTCATGCAGAGTAATCCTGTTGCGAGATGGCATATCTGTCAAGGTTCAATTAACAGCATAGCATTCTCAAATGACGGGACACACTTGGCAACTGTTGGAAGAGATGGTAAGACGCCTATATCCCGTCGTGTAGCTCGTCTTGTTTTTCTATGTAATTCTTGATTAAGCAATAAGTTTTTCTTACCATTTGCAGGTTATCTTCGCATTTTTGACTTCTCAACCCAGAAGCTGTTATGTGGTGGAAAAAGTTATTATGGTGCTCTGCTCTGCTGTTCTTGGAGGTGACTGGATATAAAACTTTCTCAAATTCTATTCTTCTTTGAATTTAGAAAACTTGTGCGAAATAAATGCCATTTTCGTAAGCGTATTAGCACATAATGATAATGCCTATTGACATCGTGATCATATTGACAGTATGGATGGAAAGTACATTTTGACTGGAGGTGAAGATGACTTGGTTCAAGTGTGGAGTATGGATGATCGGAAGGTCGTTGCGTGGGGGGAGGGACATAATTCATGGGTAAGATTCTTGATTTTAGTTCGGTTATTTCTTAATATGTACACAAACATAACTTGATTGATTTTGGAATGCTTGCTCTCAGGTAAGTGGAGTTGCGTTTGATTCCTATTGGTCGTCACCAAACTCAGATGGGACAGCAGAGCATGTCATGTACCGGTTTGGGTCAGTTGGTCAGGTATTTTTTTGCATGCTTTACCCATTCTTCTGGTTCTCCTTTGCTTCACCTACTTCTTTGACCAGCTTTGTCATTTAAACTCCGACTATTTCAGTCTCTTGATTATCCTGTATATATGATTTCCAAGTCTTTGACCTCACACACTGTGCTGCTTTCCTCTGTTGAACCCCAGGACACACAGTTGCTTCTGTGGGACCTTGAAATGGACGAGATCGTAGTTCCACTGAGGAGAGCGCCAGGAGGTTCTCCCACTTACAGCACGGGAAGCCAATCAGCTCACTGGGACAATGTCATACCAATGGGAACTCTTCAACCTGCTCCTTGCAAACGTGATGTCCCGAAGCTCTCACCGGTCATAGCTCACCGTGTTCACACTGAGCCTCTCTCTGGCTTGATGTTCACACAAGAATCAGTCGTTACGGCTTGCAGAGAAGGGCATATAAAGATCTGGACACGGCCCAGTCTCTCGGAAACCCAAGCCAACAGCGCAGAAGCAAATCCTACAAGTGCCCTCTTGAGCACAAGCTTCCCCAAAGACGGCAAATCCTCGCTGAGCAGCAAGATCGGTGGTTCTAGTTTCAAACAATGACCGAGAAGATGCTGTCTGAAAATCAGGTGCTATTATTTAGTCATGTTTCTCCTTCTAAAGTGAAAAGGAAACCTTAAAAGAAAAGCCCTGTGAATAAAATTTCTGCTGGGTTTTGTTTTAAATTTTAAAAGAAAGATCAAAATCTGACTGTATATTGGAGGCTGACCAAAATTGTGGGCATGGAAAAGAAGAAGAGGGGTGAGATGAAAGAGAATTTTCAGATGTAATTATAAGAAGAAGAGAAGAAAGGAAAATGTGATTTGGTTTTTAGGGTCTATATGTCCAGAAGACTCTCAGCAGCCAATAATGGAACTTTGGTGCGTCAGAAGATGACACTCTTTATTTTTCATGCAGTTTGCAGACAATAAACGATGCCTTATATATTTATTTATTTGGTTTCTCGGAAATATAATGTTCCTGCATTTTTGTTTTGTGAGTGATATAATAATCCGAAAAGTCCATGGCCTTTGCTGTCTTTATGAATTTCATTTTAAACACCTGCCCACTCCATATCCTCATTCAAGTCTTAAACATTCTCTCTAAACCATATTTTCTTGTTTAGCTAAAAGCCTAAAACTAATTCGAGGCAATACAATTCTTTGTCCATATGTCAACTTTGTATTTGGCCTATAGAACCGTGACACGACCGACGAGAGACAAAATCGAGGGAAGACTCAACTACCGGTTTTTTGGAATATTGATTGCTTTGTCTCTCCCCCAATCACTCAGATCTCAATCATACTTTTTTCATATGACGTGACAGCATAAATAATTCTACTAGTGTACCTTTTTTACTTAAGGTGTTTGGAAAACCTTCTTTCTCCACATACCACGTACATGTATTATGAAGGAATATATTGGACGTGACTGTGTGGTTAAAATGGGTTTCCTTATTAAGCCATGTAAAAGAAAGGAGATGCTTAAAACTTTAAAAGGGACCACTAGACAATTAGTTTCTTAATACATCCTCAACTGAAATATGAGTTTTTTGCCTCTCTCGGATTTAAGAGCTTGTGATGCCTTCTTCTAGGTACCACTTATTTAAGATTTAAGACAGCTGGAACAATAAACAATGATAACATCCTATATTTGTGTATTGATAGGAAATAAAATAGTGTCGGTGGTTTAGTTGCACTCTCCGATTCCTAAACCATAACTCCAAAAAATCAAAAGATTTCCTAGAAAGTACATATACTCCTTAAGTGTAAAATTTAGTCAGTTTGTTTCATTTTGCAAAAATTAGTCCACTCTTAACAAAATTTTCTTCTTCTTAGGTTTAGTGTAACAAAATATATCATGTTCAGTTCAAGTATATACCCGACACAACTTTTGCTATTTATCATTCAGATTACACAAAACTCTCAATCTCAAATGACGCAATCTCTCAGTTACTAAGGAGATAAACTGATTATATAATATTTGGTCCATTGGGATTTGTGAATCACTTCTGACTTCCCCGACCGTATCTTATCATATCAAACTTCCGATCACACATCCAAACGCTTTCTCAACTAACCACGTGGCATGATGACGTCATCACTTCTCTCTCACTCACTCACTATCTCTCTTCAACGTCCGTCCATTCAATTCACAGTTGGCACTTTATTACTTCACTCTGCTTTTTCGGATCACAGATCTCCTTCCATTTTCAGCTCTGCCCAGATTTTCCCACTCTCCGAAACCCTAAATTCCCAAATTAGCTTTAGGAATCTCCTTTATCATCTTTGTTCCGAAGAGAGGTCGTATCGTAAATTCGTAACATGTAGTTAGATCTCGAGGATGGTTTGATCGATTGAGTAAACAAAACAACAACAAAAAGATGGATCTGATGATGATTCAGAGACGTTCACCGAGAAGGGTCTGGCTAGGTTTACAAAATTCGACAGTGATCCTCGTGGGTGGAAACCATACCTCCTCCAGGTTTTGCACTCGCTAAATTCTCTTCCTCTCCCCCCTCCCAAATCTCAATCTCTCTTTTGAAATCCTACTTCAATTGAATCTCTTCCAAGTTAGCGAAAAACAAATTTCCTATTTCGTTCGATTTCTGCTCTGAAATCCGCCATGGGCGTTGATGCGCTGAAGCTGAGACTGATACCCAGCTCATTCCGTCGGCGCGTGATCCTACGCGCACTCGTGATCGTCTGCGCTTTCTCCGTCGTATCCGTCATCCGTAACCTCGGCGGAGCTTACGACGGAGAGGAGGATGATCACCACCACCCGCATAAGGTCGACGAGTGCGCCGTGAATTTCGCGTTTCTCGGTCCGTTCCTCTTCTCAGGCAACGGATTGTTCTCCAACAGATTCCTGAAACCAATTTTGAACCATCTCGAATCAGAGAAATGCAAAGAGAACATCGATTTAACCGCTAGAGTCATCAGAGAGCTCACGGATATGAATCTCCTGAGTCAAAACGCGAAAGCTCTCTGCATCGGCCGGAGATCGGTCTCAGCCGTTCTTGCTTTGAACTCGCAAGGAATCTCCGACGCCACCGTCGCTGCTTACTCGCCGCCAACGGTTTTCGCTTTCAAGCACAGGAAGTTCACTAGCGAGCTACAGTACAAAGACGCTTCCTTCGGCTTCGTCTTCTCTACCGATCTAGAAACAGTCTCTGTTCCCGCTTCGCTCGTTTACGAAATCGAACGTATACTAATCCCCGGCGGCACCGGAGCTATGCTGATTCGGTCTGACTCAACCGGTTTGGTCAGATCGGTTTCGCCGGTTTCTTCTCTGCTCAAGAACTCGAGCGTTGTTCATGTTGCTTCCTTTGGTGAAGAACAGGTTTTGGTTGTGTTTAGGAGAAACGGAGAAGAAGAAGATAGCTTTCAATTGGATCTTCCTGGTGATTGCTCATCCGTCGTCAACAACCGACCGTACATTGGACTGTTAGAGCCAATTCTCGAGGAGAAACGTTCGGATTTCGAGAGACGGATTCACTACTTGCCTGAGTTCGTCGATCTTTCGTCTAGGAAGAGGCTGGTTTACATCGACATCGGAGCAGCGGATCATGTGAAGGCGAGATCGGATTGGTTCTTCCCTTCGTATCCGATCGAGAGGAAAGCTTTCAACAGCTACTTCGTGCATCACAACACGTCGATCTTGACTTCTTATGTGAAAAGCCCTGGCGTGACGTTCATCTACCATCCGGGGCTCGCAGCGAGTAAAGGAGTGATGATGGGTGGTGATGAAGATCAAGAAGAGTCGTTTGTGGAAGATGATAGCTTTGATTTTCTTGAATGGTTCAAGGAGACAGCGAGCTTCGCTGACTTCGTTGTGCTGAAGATGAACACGAGCGAGTCCGAGATGAGGTTTCTCTCGGAGCTGATGAAGACCGGAGCGATCTGTTCAGTTGATGAGCTGTTTCTTCATTGCACTGGGTATAGAGACTGCGACGGTACGTTTAAGAGCCTCAGAGAGAGTGGCGTCTTTGTTCATCAGTGGTGGGAAGACTAGTAAATTAAAAAAGCTCAGTAAATGAAGCTTTTTAAAAACTAAAAAGGGTAAACTATGTTGTTTTCATAACTTTTGTGTTGTGTTGTGTTCTGTTTTTTTCTCGTTTGCTACAATATTTGCTCATGTACAGGGCAAAAGCTGTAGAAGTTTGCTCCAGCGGCTGGGCCGCTTCTATGGTTCTATCTAAAATAAGCAGTCGCTATTATGTATTTGCTTTTTCAATGAAGTTGTTGTGTTTGTGTGTTTCTACTGGTTTTGATGCTCTGTTTATACAACTAATTACAAGACTTGGAATATTATTATCAAAGTAAGCTGATAATTTACAAAACCCGAATTAAAGTGGCGCATACATATAGTTAGTAACTTGAGTTCCAATGCCTACATCTACACACAAAGCAAAAACACTGAGAAGCTGACTCTGTACAAACAAGCCCACTGGTTTGCGCCATTTGTGTTGACCGTAATCTCCAAAAGCCCTATCCACCGGTTTGTCTACAGATGGGACAGAGATTTGTCTGAAACCTCAAAAGCTTGGCACAACCGCTACACATAGTCACATACATTAGGAATCACCAAAGAGAAATGGAAAGTAGCTCAAAAAGATTGCAGATATGCAACTCTAAGGCCTAAGATGCTGTATACATATTTGTTTTCACAAAGAATGTTTATATGCTTACCATGTGCCTGCAAGGAAGAATAGTGGTATCTCGTGGTGGCTTATATGCTTACCATGTTTATATGCTTACCTAATAAATAATCGATCGTTCATCATTAGCACAATAAAAACCTCTTTGATTATGTCAAATACTTTTAAGGATCGATGTGACTTTATATAGAGACAGTGTGTCCATTAAATTGTAACACATAAACACAATAAGAAACTCTTTGATTTCATTGTTTTGATTCCAATCACTCGATAAACTCGACAACAATTACACCTCACGAAAATTCACAAAAGAGCAAGCAGAAAACATAAATAACAAAACACAGCAAACAAAAACTGCAAGTGATTGATTGATTTGGAATTTTGTACAAAGAAGATAGATAACAACAACAACTATTTGCAGTTATATCATTTTTTATTATTCAGAATCTGGTTTTCTTGGTTGATGCATGAGGCAGTTTTTTAGACGTTGGCAGCACTTCTGAAAGATCCGAGTGACTTGGAACCTGAAGCTCTCAGAACAAATTGGTGGTAAAATGCAGCAATCGCAGCTCCAATGAATGGTCCCACCCAAAATATCCACTGTTCATTTTGTTTTTTATCATCAAGATTAATAATCATAATAAACAATTAAATTAGTTATAAATAGAATTGGAAAAGATGAGGTCATACGTGGTCATTCCATGGCTTGCTCTCGTTGAAGATAACGGCTGCTCCGAAACTCCTTGCCGGGTTAATTCCGGTTCCGGTGATCGGAATGGTAGCCAAGTGTACCATAAACACCGCAAATCCAATCGGAAGTGGCGCCAACACCTTTCATTTCATTTAAATTCCAATTAATTAATTATGAAAAATATCACTTAACAAAGAAAAAAAAATACTTGCATACAACTATACAAGTATAGATTATAGCATTATTATGTGACTTACGGGAACGTGGGAGTCTCTGGCGCTACGTTTAGGGTCGGTGGCGGAGAAGACGGTGTAGACAAGAACGAAAGTACCGATGATCTCTGCAGCGAGGCCGGTACCTATGCTGTAGCCATCGGCTAGAGAGTTTGCTCCTCCACCGTAACGGACGTAGTAAGAGCTTTGGAAAGCTTTGACGAACCCAACTCCACAAATCGCACCTAAACATTGAGCCACCATGTACAATATGGCTCTAACCAACGACACTTTACGGGCCAAGAGTAGCCCAAATGTCACCGCCGGGTTGATGTGACCACCTAACCAAACAAAATCGATTTGTATTCATTTTTCACTTGTCCGATTTTCTTCTAAACAAAAAATTTAAACATGAAAAATCAAGATTGAAGATTCATACCAGAGATACCGGCGGTGCAGTAGACAAGAATAAAGATCATGCCACCGAAGGCCCAAGCGATACCGAGGATTCCAACGCCGCCGCAATCGACGCCGCCGGCAGTAGTGTCCGACTGAATCTTGTAACCGATGACTGTCAAAACGGTGATGTATAAGAAGAGAAGAGTGGCTACGAACTCGGCGATGACTGCTCTGTAAAAAGACCACTTCGTCAGCTCCGCCGGATCAAACAGCGGTGCCGGTGGAGGATCTTGATAGTCTCTTGTCTGAAACCCATCTCCGGAAACGGCTTCAACGTCCTTTGCCATGATTAGTTTATTTCTTTCTTTCCAAACAAATGGCTTTTTTTGCTTCTCTGTAGTGTGGTTAGTGAGAAGAACATGTGTTTTGTTTTTATAGTGAGAACTCCTCTTTGTTGTTTTGCATGTCTAATTTTTTTATTATTATATCGAAAATGATAATATTATTAGGTTATGAATATGATACGTCTAAGGTTTTTTTAATTGGAATGGGAGTTGTTATTTTCTTTCTATAAAATAATTGAACGTATGATTTATGAGAAACTAGCTTGCACAAAATAAGTATAACCGAGCTGTCCTGAAATAGAAAATTCTGATCAATAATTGCTTGATATAGTAATTTAACCGTTTATAGTACGTAAATAAGAACCCTGGTTTCCTTGAATATCTAAATTAGCCAATCAAAATAAGTAGATGTAAATGGTAACGGATTCAAGTTGAGTCGTAATTTATCAAGTTTTACGTTATAACAATTTGTAATACTTTGAACCAAGCCCGTGACAACAAAAGTTAGATCCAAATTTCTATGGAACATGCATAATAAAATATAGTCTGCGAGATTAGTTAGATTATCATGTCATAAGACAGGACTTTATATCCACTCGTATATACTCTCTCCGTTTTTTTAAAGATAAATTTTCTAATTTTTTCACACAGATTAAGAAAAAATTGATTTTCAATCATTAATGTATAGATTTCTACAATAAAACAACTTTTTATAATTTTAAACCAATAAAAATCCAACAAATATAATCATTGTATCTTGAAAACTGAAAAAGTGCATCAAAAAGGTAAAAATTTTATCTTTGTAAAACAATCATAATGGCTAGAAAATTCATTAAAAAAAACGGAGGGAGTACTTGTTTAAAGAATAGTTTTATCTGCCCTAGTAATAGAGAAATAGTACCAATCACTCAATCAGTGGTGGTGGTGGTGGAGTGCTATCAGAACCACAACTTTTGAATTATTTTAATAGTTTAGATCATTTTTTTCTATTTTCCTGGTAGAGATTAATGGAGGTTTGTGATTAGTGATTACTTTAACTTAGCCTCGCCGCCCCATCACCTAAATGTCATTTTCGTCTCGACCGACCCCAATTATACTATATGATGCTCTTCTTCTTTTTTTTTCATATAAATACCATCGCTTGTCACTTTTCTCTATTTTAAAAGCCGCAAATTTTTATGATAATGCTAGAATTATAATCTACATCGACTTTTTCTATCCATTCAGCAATTTTGTTTCTTGTAATTTGAACACATATACAACATTCCAGAACTTTCTTTAACATTCCAGCGAATCATGGTTACTTTCTCAAATTCCAAACAAAGTATGGTTTGTTATCAGACAAGTGCTCCGGTATCATCAAAACTAAATTTGATTTGTTATATTTGTTTACTTAATAGTAGTAAACTGTTAACAGGATTTTATATCTTAGAGACTTTATGATTCTGAATATTGGATGTATAGTAGATAGTAGTATGAGCCAAAACCTCGGATTAGGGATTAGGTAGGATACATAAATAAAGGTGTATTTGAGCATGAACTAACCATAAAGGCCTAAACGAAACCATTATTAATCGGACAGTACAACACCATTAGTTAAACCAGGGTGTAAAGTACGATGCCGTTTTTGGAGGGGTCCAGATTCCTCCACTGAGGTCAAAACCATGTGATTTTGGAAAAAGATGACACGTGGAGGGGTGGCACGCCTGAAAGCGACCCGCCGCTCCGGCAAACGCATCGTCACCGTCCATTAGAATGATATCCAACTCAACGCAGCCGTCGGTTTGTTCAACCACTCACATGATGCCACGTTAACCGGTCCCCACTAATGATTTAACTTCATTCTCTCTCCCTCCAAAATTCCAATCTCTCTGCTAGATTGGAAAATATTGCTGACAATGGACTGAACGCGAGAAAATGAATGCAATAATGATGTCAAAACAAAAAGTGTGACGAAGAAACAAATAGAGGAGATGCAGCTATGGATATAATGTTGCCAGGTGTCGACATCCTTATCGTTTTAGCTACGTTGGTCGGCTATTGATACATGAATATTCCACGTCAGCCGTGTGTTTTTTTTTGTATCTACAATGATGAAAACGTGAAGTCTCTATTTCTGGCTCTGTAGTCTGTACCACATAAATTTATAATAAGAGTAAGAGATTTGTACTCAAGAAAACTCTCGACTGTTTTGCAAAAAAAGTTGTCCTTTAGTCACAACCGAAACTAGTCCAGATTATTTAGTGTACAATGTTACTATTTCGTTTACTAGTGTATAAATTCCCAACATTTTATTTGTTGGAAGGTTGTCATTTGTCAAAGGTCAAAATTTGCGGCCTGTCAGGTTCAGTAATGTTTCTTGTTAAGTTACGTGTATAAGAAGGTGGATAAACAAAGTCACGTCTTGTCCTCTTTTGTCTTGATTTCGCTTTTTAATTTCCATTCTTTAGAAGAGGAGGAATGCATTTGTATTATAGAGATTAGGACATAAAGCATGGCAAAGGAATTTTCTTTTCCATTTTATAACTTAAAATACTTCACAAACTTAATTAAAGATTGGTGGAAATCACTCTAGAACCGAGTTGTTTTCATGAAAACAAAGAATATTGTGCTCGTGTGTTTTTAACAAAACAATTGGCGGCAATATACTATTGCAACGTAGAAATGACTTTTTCTACCAGCTTCAGAAACAACTTCCATTGCTTCTAAATGGCTCGTTTAGTCCAAATGACTTTTTCTACCAGCTTCAGAAGCAACTTCCATTGCTTCTAAAGACCGTACATTTGCTACACAATGGGCTTTAGCTCTCGGCATCCGGATGTGGTCATTTGGCCCATGTTGGGTTTTATCATCTGATTAACTGTATCAGCATAGTTATCATCATATCATATGTATCGAGTATATAACTTTGCATTCTTCCATGTGAATGTGATCAATCAGTTATCACATTGTCGATCAGTTAACTGGAGAGTAATTTCACCTTCGTCCTCTAATTTATTCTGTTCTTACTTTTTCTTCTATTCTCTAATCTCTATTTTCTCTTAATAATAAATTAATAATCATCGTCCGAGGTTATCACGGTGCTAAACATCTACGAAAAACTTTTACGCTAATAAACGGTCAAACATGTTCTTTCACTAAAATTCATCCGGAAATCGCAAGCCATCGATTATTTGGGATTGTCACGCTCTGCGTTTTCGTCTAGCAGCAAGGCTAGTCTCTTTTTAGTGGATACAAGGTGATATATGTCCATTGGGGACCGATTCAACTCTAATGAATGTCTAAATAGATAGACAAAGAATTTAGAAGAATGAACTTTTCTTTGTTGACAGAGATTCCTTTATGAAAAATTTCAGAAACAGTGCAAAGCATAAAAGCATCCAAAAAATCAAATTTATGAAATCAAAAGCAAATGCCTCACTTGGTCACTGTATAATCGAATGCAAGGTAACAACACTACATGATACTCAAGATTATGAATGAAGAAAGGAGTTTAAGCTTATGCAGTGAACCTCGACATTTTACTTGTGAAGAGAACAATAACCAATGTTGAAATTGAATCAAAGACCGTGAAATTTGCATCTTTTCACCATCAAGAAGCAAAACATCATACTCAAGTAAACAGGTCAAAGTTCCCAACTTTTAGAAAACAATAGCACATAGTATCAATGCTATTTCAGATTCTGATCATAAAACAAAGAGATATTCCAAACATTCAAGCCAAATTGCAAAACATTTCAACTCAAAACCTCAGACGAAACCAGACATTGTAAACTGCGAATTCATAAACCATTGGGGTTCTTAAACAGAGAAAAAGAAAACGCAACAATAATCCAAAACTGAGTCATTTCTAATTGAAACATTCATTGCAGCTAAAAAGTTCCCAAACACAAAATGAAAAAAAAAAAGATGAAAGAAGAAAGACAAACAGCATTTCTCAATTCCCATCAAATCATTTTCATTTGCTTAGTTCTCAGGAATCTCGATCTCACCCTCTTGAATCTCCTGCTGAAGATCCTTCGGGTCCTTTCCATCAACAGTGCACCCAACAGACACGCACGTTCCCAGAATCTCCCTCACCGTCCCGCTCAGCTCCTTCGCGATAGATCTAGGCCTCATTATCCTCGCAATCTCAATCACATCGTCGAATGAAATGTTGCCATTGTGCTTGATGTTCTTCACCTTCTTACGGTCTCTCTCCGGCTCCTTCAACGCCTTGATGACCAGAGCCGCAGCTGACGGAACCACCGTGACCTTAGCCTGACGATTCTGCACAGTCAGCTTCACGGTGACACGGAGACCTTTCCACTCCTTGGCCGTCTCTTTGGCGATGTCTTCTCCGATCTTCTTTGGTGCGAGACCGAGAGGACCGATCTTCGGAGCCAGAGAACTGGCGGCTCCGACTTCTCCTCCGGTCACACGGACGTACACATCGACGATCGCGCTTGGGTCCAACTTCGGCGGCATTGTTCGAGATTTGGGGGTTTCGCGATCGAGAGTGTGGAGGCGCCGCTTAGGGTTTTTGAAGGAGAGGAATGAAAATGGACGAAAACTAGGGCTTATATTTGTCTATGTAAATTATAATATTACCCTTCTCATGATTCGGCCCAATCTTATTAGATATGGGCTTTGATCACTTTTTGACTCAGATGGGTTTGGCCCAATTTCTTCGTTGGGTAAAATTCACACGAACGAAATTGAAAACACATTTGGTGGGAGAAACTCAAATTCCGTTAGACGGCGGAGACGGCGTGAAGAAGGAGTTGAAGAAAGCAACCCAAATCGGAGTCCAGGGTTCACGGGTCTACGATTGGCATTTCCAGTATCTCTTTCTTGTTTGGATCTGCCAGTTCCGTTGAGATGACGAGAAGGAAATCTCCGGTCGTCTTGCCTCAACCCGCTACACCGGTTCTTCGTCGATCGGCGAGGCTTATCTCTCTGCAAAACCGAGATGGTCAAGTGAGATCTGGGAAAGATCTGGCCTTTCGCTCGGAACCACCACCGAGGAGAAGCGGCCGGAAACTCGTCGCAGAAGTATCCGGGAGATTAGCGTTCGAAGATTCGAGCTCGAAGAAATCCCCTGGATCCAACAGTTCGATTGATGGGTTTCCTACGCCGAGGCGATCTCTTAGGATTTCGAAAATGGGATTTTCCGATGCCGGCAAAGAGGAGCCTTCTCGGTGTGATTCTGCGAAACCTGCAGTTACCCCATCGTCTCGCGTGAAATCGACCAATGCCTCGTCTTCTTTTACTCTGAGACGATCTCCTAGGTTCTCGAGTGGAGGAGGATCTCTGAGACGGTCTCCTAGATTCTCGAGTGGAGGAGGATCAGGTAACTGTGTTTTGAGTAGATGTAGTACGAATTCAATTTCATCTGAGAAAGGAAACGGTGGAGATAGTGTGAGATCTAGGGACAGAAGTAGAAGTAGAAGTAGAAGTAGAAGTCGTCCTCGTCCAAAGACTAAGCAGATGTTTAGAGATAGTGATGATAATGAAGAAGAAGAAGTTAACTGTGTTTTGAGTAAGAGTTGTACGAAATCAGTCTCATCTGAGAAAGGAAATGAAGGAGATGGTGTGAGATCTAGGGACAGAAGTAGAAGTAGAAGTCGTCCTCCTCCGAAGACTAAGCAGATGTTTAAAGATATTGATGAAGAAGAAGAAAAAGAAGAAGTTACTGAGAAGAAAAGGATGAGACTTGCAAAGGAAAACGAGGAAGAAAATGCTGTGCCAAAAGCTGATGAAGGGAAGAGAATAGAAATGGAAGTAGTAGAAGAAGAAGGAGGATTGAAGACAAAGAACAAGCTTGAGAAAGGATGGACAGAGGAGCTGGAGGTAGCTT